AGAGGATCACGATAGGGACATTGGAAGATAGTGGGACAATTTCGTAATTGCTTTCGTCATTGTCTCGAAAACATTAATCTCTGAATAATAATGCAAGGGGATAAAGTCATTGTGCTTACTGTCTTTCTTCGCTTATTTAATAAAAAAGATTTAATTAGAAATTCACTCCGAAGTCAACTTTTACTCTTGTCTTCCTTTTCCCTTACTTACTTGTCATCTGCTTTGCCCGTGAGGCGTACTGCAGGCCATTTTGTCGTTAATGTCGAGTTGAAAAAATGATTAGAGCAACACACTGTAGAGAGAGTGGAACATAAAGGTTACACTAAAGCTAATGCAACAATTACAAGTCATACTTGACGCTGGTGCCATCGAGACAAGCAATACAAGAAGCATGTGTGTGTGTGTGTGTGTGTGTGTGTGCGCGATGAACGGCTTCAGCACATAGGCGTGAATCGTGGTAAGGAGAAATTTCAATTGGCACGAAAAGTAAAAATAACGCTTTCCCGCATAATACTTTCGCAGCTTTTCTGTGGTTTCAGTAAACCACACCTGCTGTGTGCGAGATGTTTTACTGAAAATCAAGTCAAGGAACTTACACGTTTCTCGCATCATCGCCGAATATTGTATCATATATGTAATAGTATTATGCATACAAAATAACTTGCGGTTAAGGCTACGACGACTACGCTGGATTCGATTGTATTTATAACTGCATGAGTGTATAGTTTATCCCGCTGACGCAATAAAGTCTTCCTTTAATGCTATAAAAATGAAGAAATCAACTATTTTTCAATATAGTAAATTATAAAATCATAAACTGCACATTTTTCCTCTGCACCCGTATCCCTTGCAACAATAGCATTATATATGTGTTAGCACATAACACATAACACATAAATATAAGAAAAAGTGCTCTTTTTATGTTGTATTAAATAGAACGGTTCATTCCTTTTATCCAGTTATTTGGCGTAAAATACGTTTCAATCGCATTTTATACTCTTGGCTCAGCATTTGTTGATTGCCAGCAATTTATATGTATGTGAATGCATTTGCACTTAAACATTACAGTGCCAAACACGTGCACACGCATACATGTAAACTCTCCGTCTACATGTTGTAAACGAAAGCGGCGGCTATCTTGTGGATAGATAACCATACTCTTGCCATTGCAGACGCAGAGAAAGAAGAATAACGAACGATCTAAGCAAAAGAATAGAAATATGTATGTATGCATGTGATAATACAACATACATGTGTGCGTATGAATATCTGAGGAACAGTGTTTGTCTGACTATCTAATTGTAGGTTTGTACGCGTTACTGTCTAAATGTGTGTACGCGTTGGTATTTCATTCGTCCATTGAAAACCTTATTTTCCCATTTCCGGCATTAGATGCAGCAATTCCCTCACAGCCATCATTGCTTACTCGAAAGGAAAGTCAGAGCCGTACAATGTTAAAACTGTTTTGATCGCATTTTAGTTGCCGCACATCAGAAATAAACTCATTATATACTTGTGCACGTTATGTATTCATATACACACTGTATATGATTTCCCAAAAAAAAAACAAAAAAAAAAAAAACACTTATATACATTACGTTGGAGCATGAATATGTATAAAAATATAGTGGCGGCATGTTTGGATGCATGTGTGCTTGCTTAATACGTTACAGAATTATCTTGTGTATATTTTCCCTCAAAAAAAAACAAAGAGAGAAAGCAAAAAAAAAAACACTACATTCAGCTCGGTATGAATGCATTTAACTGTGTCATGCCATAGCGTCCATGGTGCTTAAAACCCTCAACATACCAAACAAATGAATTTTTTTCAACACATCCCCGCTTCTCTGCATCTCTCCTATTTTTGTTACAAAGTTGAACGTATAAATTCAAATGTATATATACGCAAGTTTATAAAAGACACAGACACTGCATCCAGACGGACGGAAGGACGGACAAATGGATGGATGGGTAAAAGAAACAGCCTTAGCCCAAGCATTTATTGTAATGCGAAAATAGGATTTTAGGATATAAAAATTATGATAGATTACTTGCATGGACATGCCACTGAAAACGCATCCTCTTGCAGAATTTAATATTGTTTTATACTCACATATAGTAACGCAAACTCTATATACACATATGCATACATATACTCAGTGTACACTCATTTTTCGTGGCCATTTCTCCGTCAATAGTGAAATAAAAGGAAAACGTTTACGATTTGAATTTGAATTAAAGCACAGAGAAGAAAATATCTTTAACATAAATAAAATCACCCTCCATGCATTCTCGATATTCGCATACATTAACGAACAGATATCACATTTGAAAATTTGACATAAGAAAATTGAAATCAGAAACAAAATGCGAAAGAAGCGATCAAGTGACGACTTTGGCGCATTCAAAATCTCACAAGCCCCTCAAACTTTTTTACGTCGTGCTTTCTCGGCTCAAAGTTACAAACTAAAGTCTAAAACTTTTCGTTACGCCAGTTTACAGTTTTTCTTTTTCACCAGACAGTAACACAGTAAAGTGACGGTACTGCATACATACGTCCAAAATGTATGTGCGGAAAAAGCGAAATTGTGGATGTCCGGTTACACCAATATTTTCCTCTCCGGGAGTTTGTATTGAAACAACAAAAGTTGTCCAACTATCTCAAAACACACATCAGCTTAGACGATACGCTTGTGTGTGGCTTGATAACGATAAATATCCGAAATCGGAAGCTGTACCGCAAATATTCAATCTAATTTCGCAGACACTTTCACACACAAACAAATCCAATAAATAAATTTGGCATAAGAAGAAGCTGTGCATAAAATCAGGAACCTCTAGGGATTATTTCACATTTGCTTAGCAAAAGAAAAATACAATGCTCGTGCTATTCTTGCAAGATTCGTTGTCTATCCCTACCGTTCGAGTTTGAAATGCCATTCAGTGCTGTATGAACAACAAAGAACCTTCAAGTAAGAAGCCTCTGTTCGCCTTACGTCCAACACCTACTACTCCCTACTAAATTCAAAATTGCAGTTTCCAACTCGATCTTGAGCTCCTTTTGTGGCCGTAACAGTTCGAACGATAAAAGCCAAACAGCCCGTGAATGAGACTAATCTAATCATATCGGCTCAAAATAGCACACAAATCATGAACTTTGCGCAAATTTATGGATTCTAAGTGATACGGGCAGACAGACAGAAGAAGGTTAAATTTGTCCTTGTCTTATGTAGTAGAGTGTGTCAAGAATATTAAAAGCGCTTATGGGCCGCATATGAATGGAATATTTTTCAGCAAAGCTTTGCAATGGTGTTTGTTATGGCTAACCAAGGTGACCGGGTGTCAATGTGCACAAAGACGCGTAGACTTTGTTAATAGAACTTCTAGTCATAAGATTAATGAGAAGCAGAGTGCAAGCTCTACAACAGCAAAGCTTTTTAATGTCACAGTTTGTTTTTGTTATCTGTGGTTAAACAGTTGTTGCTCTTCGCTATAATTTTGTTTCAAGCTCAACGGCTTTATCTTATACGTTTCGGTTTACTGTAGACACAAGCCAAAAATTCCAACACTGAAAGCGCTCGTGCCGCAATACATGGGAAAATTTTTCTATAATGTTGTTTATTATGCTGTTGAAATCCAAAAAACAAGAATCAATGACCATCAACAGACAACATTCTCGATGTAGTGAGAGAAAGGTTTTTAATTCCCAATAATCAACGCAAACAATTATTAAAAATTGAATTTTTATCAAACGTTCAGCACTTTAAAAAGTAAAACATTCTTGTTGTGGCAGGTCGACAGAGAGATACCCTAAGATCGCGTCACCTAATACCATATTTCATTTAGGTAATTTCTAAGCTGAAAACAGCGGGAAAATGTATTCTCATTACAATAAATTTCTATTTTATTATTTATCCTATATGGAGGGAGGCACCAAACGCCCAAAACGTGAACCATATTTAGTAAAATTGATGTTCTTACCTATTTTCGTTACAATGTCCTAAAATCAGATGGAGGCAAAAAAAAAAGCCAAAGCAACTCACATTTGGTGCAATTAATTTGCGGAAGGGGATATAAAGAAGAATATGAACGAAAAATTGCAAATCTCTTTGATGTAAAGATTCAAAATTGTGCGAGAAGCGATAGTGAAAATCTGTTTTCAGTGGAGTTCGTCCTTGGGCCGAAGGAGGCCAATGTACAAAATTTCATCAAAATGTCTCAAACTTCCCAATCTGTCGAATATGGACACGTATAGAGCCTTGTGGAAGAGATAGACGAACGGATGAGCTGAAGTTTGGGCTCCTTTTCAACTCCTACTGGGTGTTACACGTATCCGCACAAACTTGATACACACTGCACATGCGAACGGTGTAGGGTATAAAGAGAATAATGAAGATAATATTGTCCTTGTTAGGTTACAAGCACACTTCGGACTCCACACACTGTGTAACTAAATGCCCGGAACATGCCCGAACCGATGGCGAAAACATGATAAAGCCGGAAACCTGTACAATGTTTTGTAAGATTTCTGTAATAAATTTAAGGTTTTTTATATATATATATTTATATGAACAATTTAAATTTCTAAGACTTTTGTTTTTGTTAAAACAGAGAAACAAACATAATATTTAATTAGATAATTGCGTGACTTTACAATGTCCACTATGCAAACATACTGTGATTTGCGCTTGACTTATAGGTATGAAAAAAAAAAAAAGGCAACAATAAAAAATTTGAAAAAAATTCAAGTACATCCACTAACTAAACTGGCTACAGACAAAAGTGAATGGAGTCATTTCGTACACAGGTGATTGAATACATTTTTCATTCTAACTTTTAATTCAATCACAACACGTTGCAATCAGTTTTCAAACGTTTCGTATTGTTACAGCGCACTTGCGCACCGATATAATAACAGACAAATAATTTTCTTTAATAATTAATACAAAATTTTCATTAATAAAAACCAAAAAAAAAAAAAAAAAGAACCACTTGTTTATGCTTAAGAAATGTTGCACTTGTATGGGTAATCTGAGTAAAGCCGTTATCCGCGTTCCTTGAATCATCGGTAATTTTCAAAAGCAAAAAAAACAAAAACGACAAATAACAATAATATTGGTGAAGGTATTAAGATTCCATGTGGGACTAAAGCAGCAAAAAATATACCAGTGATTGCACGGTTCACATTCACATATATGTGCGTGTGTGGTTAAGCGAATAGTTTATTGATTTTTTAATAGAATTCGTGTTAATAATTCAATCATTTAACAATTTAGCAAAGAAAACAAACCAGTGCTATACGAAATGGGCAACAATAGCTCCCTTTGCTCCAGTAAAAATGCTGTACGCAACTTGGATGAAGGAGAGTAAGTAACTGCGATTGATGTTTTTTGTAAAAGGCAAAAAGCCGTTATTACCATAATAATCTGTTCTCATTATGACGACGACTGTATAAAAGCTTTCCCCCGACAGACAGACTTTAATTTAGTCTTGATTCTACACCAAGTCCACACAGTTTCTCACAGAACCTTATTTTAAGTGTTTAATTGTAGTAGCAGAGATATGTCATGCAATGAATGAGCGTTTAAATCTGCACAGTGTAAATGTATAATCATCGGATTAGGGTGACCAAACTGCAGAATGTGACAATCATACGTACATATATAATCTATGACACCATTTACTAAACATTCCTATCAGAATCTATAACTTTCAAGATAGATCATCACCTACCTCATAAGCATACTTTAAGAAGTTTATCATCCATTGCCAGAAAAGTCGTCGCCTAATTTATGAAAATTTTCGTCAGCAAAAAAAAAAATTCGACAAATTTCTAAAACAACTTCGGCAATCACAGTGAAATGATAACAGCCGCACACAATGATTCAATATAACCTTACATTTTATTCAAGTTGGAGATTATTAATGTCTTTGTATACCCTACACTACTTGTGATGCGTTTTAAGTTAGTTCGGATGTATGTACAATGTAAAAGGGATAGGTCAGTCAGATAGGGCGACATTTTATCATACCGAGCGTTTCGGAATTATAATCTGGTTTTAGTTAAGCTTGTCTGTCCATCTGTCCGTCTGCCAATCTGATGTCTACGCTCCACCCCGTTCACATTTTAATTCTCAAGCTACATTATGCGCTTATATGAACTCAAAATTTTGTTCAAGTTTTTATGAGCGCATAAGTAAAAGCTATTTTAATCGATTTCCTTCCATTTATCCATAACTAATTACTAATCTTGAAATTTTCATTTATTTACATTAGATAATTGACGTGCAAGGCGCAAAAAATTGTTTAATTGTTTTCAGCTTATATTTAGCAAAAACTTACGAAAGATTGTAAAAATTAATTAATCTTACCGTATCTGTTTTGTGTGGTTGTAATAACAAAAAGGTTTATATTTCTGATTAGTTTGCTAAAAAATGTTGCTAATAAAAATTTTTTATTACCTAGCAATGACCGGCAATATGATTGTAAAGGTTTTAAGAAATCAGGGCACAAAGAGAGTTTCGTGCGCTTGGTAGCTTACCCTTCGGTAATCATGCACAGACTCTTTCTATGCCACCTATATGTGCAGTTAAGCTGCTGCCAAAATCTTGCTTAAATTAATAAGAGCTTAAGGAAAGACAATGTAACGCTCATCGTGAGATTGTTGTTGTACTTCAATGAAAAAAACAAAAAAAAAAGCAAGTATTTTGTGCGAAAGACAATTCCTGACCTATCCCAAATGACGGTAAAATATATAAACTCAGACTAAAAGAAGACCTAAAAAGTATTTATTTAGTATTAAAGCGAAACCTGGACACCCATCCTCCCCTAAGAAACGCTAACCTTTTTCAATTGCTCCGATAAATATTCGAGACCCTGTCTCAAATAATCTAACCTTTGTAGGAATGGTTGAATGGAGGAACTTTAACATATAGTATAAGTACTTTTTAATCAAACCAAACCCCGAGATGGTCGTCTCTCCTTCTGATGTTTGTCTATTCCTTGAACACATAAATAATATTTGAAAAGTAAATTGGCCGGCAAATGATAGTAAATCTTTGCGATGATATATATATATATTTATGTGGTCTCGGGTGCTTTTACTGAGGCATCACAAAAGCAATGAAAGACCTAATATATTTTGATCTTTGATGGGCGTTGTAAAAAGCACATACAAAACAAAAAGTCAACTGATAAAAGCAAAAAAAAAAAGGAAAAAACCCCATTGGGTTCTTTTTCGTTCATTCGATATTTTCTCATTAGTCTCTAGCAAACATTTATTGTAACTTGACGGTTGCGAGATTCGACATTAAACCCGTTGAAAGACGAAAATTTCCTTAAGAAGAAATTGAAAATGCTTTGCCGAACCTTACTGACTTCAAGATACTTTCGGTGAGTGATTGCCAAGAAATGTTCAAGTGTTCCGTATAGTTGTTGTATAAGTTTCAGGCTTGATATGATTATTACTCATATAAATGAAATGTGCAAAATCAATTCGGGTGGTAGTTATCTGTATGGCTTTCAGAATTCCGTTAGTGATAGTGTGCCGCACGCCGCTTTCGATTTTTTCATTAAGTAATACCATGATCGGACACTAGATTATATACGCGATTAGAAAACATTTTACGGCAACATGTATGTCTCTTTCTCATCCGATTTGTTAAAAACCCTTAAGTGTGGGCATGATTGTGTGGATTGTTGTGTAGAAAAAAGAAATGCAAGCTTTATTTAATTTGTTTTTTTTTTTTTTTTTTTACTTTCACAAAAACTTTCGAGTATTAATAAACAAGCCAGAAAAGCTTTTCATTTCACCTTTTAATTATGTAGAAAAATCTGTCTCTCTTTCTCTCTCTCTCTCTCTCTCTCCCTTCATTCTCTCTCATTGCTGTTTCTCATCTTCCATTATTTTTTTAGTATTGAAAGTCATTAAAAGTTTCTCTCTCTATTTTGCGTTCATGTTCTCCTTGATAGCACCCGAATATATCCGTCAGCAGTTAGTTCTTATAATTCTTCTTCCCATGGCAATGGTACTCCGAATCAACGACTGCTATACAAGACGACGATTCCAGTCAATGAGCAGCAACAGAATCATCAAACAGCTGATACAATAAATGAAACATTAACAGCTGACAACAGCAAAACCCTTGCAAGTGACGTAATTGCTAATGGGCTTCCCTCCAAACACGAATGCTCGTCTTGTAGAAATGCCGTTTCGCATACCAACACAACATTATTAATGACGAATGAAAATCATACGACTGCAACAAAACAAACGGCAACTACTGCTACAACACCACCACCACCACCAACAACAACAACAACAACAACGACTATAGAATACGAATTGTCGTCGAACGGTATAGCAAAGCTTTGTAAAGTCAGTACAAGTCATATTGCTCCTAAGCAGTCATCGTTTTCGAATTTATATTCGCACACGCAGCCAAATTGCACAGTCGGTCAACAAACATTGTCGAGTGATGAAGAAATATTAGAAAAAACGGATAATAAAAGTTACCAAATACCATTATTGTCCTCGAGTAATCTTAAAGTTTTGTGTGAAAATTTAAACGCCATTAATACGTACAACCGAAGTATACATTCCTCCTTTAAAGCGCCTGCACTAAATTATCAACAGCGAGCTAATTACACAATGGATTGCAACGGCATTAATATGGATACCTTGAAGTTGGCTCCGCGCGACCGTTTAGGTCTTTGGGGTACTCACAGCGATTTGGATATACCCGGCAATATATCGGGCTTGGGACGTCTGCGAAACAAGAAATACAATAAGGTAAATATGTGCGCAAATTGTTTATGTGTTTCTCGTTTTCCCTATTTTTCTTATTTTCACAATGACTTGCAATGCGTGTGTGACATTTTTCTCTCCACTTTATCGTGCATTATAAAAATGATTGGGTATACTAAACGTAGCAAAGCAGAATGTATGTACAATATATCGACATGCGTTGAGTGTTCGGTGGAAAATTTCGAAAGTCTTCTTCGATTAAAGACATATTACATATAAACAAACGACGGGCGGGGGTTGCTTACTATCTTACAAATATGGATGATTTCTAAGTTGCCACAGGTAATCGTCACATATTGCGGTTACTTTTGCAGTGTTGAGCACTGCCTCGCCTGCAACAGCAGAAGCAGTATTTTCACTTTCGGTTGGAAGCTTTATATGCAAGGTCTTCCAGGAGACTTTGCGTTACGTTACCAAGCAATATATGAAAGCTAACTGTACAGTACTCGTCGTTCTCTTCGTCGAAGACAAAGGAACATGAAATTATTTTTAAAAGATAGATAAAAAGGAGAAAAACAACGGAACATTCTATCGTTTAACTGTTTGTAAAGAATTCCTTTAAGGGCAAGATAAGCGAGCTAAAGGTCTTTAGCTTTTTTAAAACAACGGAAAACGTAATTGTGATGGCAATGTGTAGAAATGGCGTAATTAAAAGTCGTTCGATAGGTACTTTCACTTACGTTTATATGCTCTTCTCCATGGGCGCCCTTCTGCCCTTGTTCTTATGTATTTTAAAGGACAAAGGCTTGGCCTTAAGTTGGGAATTTTTTTAGTTTACACCATCTAGAGATGGCATTATTGTACACGCCATTCCCTTTGTCGCACACCGCCGCGTTTCTACCTATCTTCTCTTTATGGAATACTAACGTTCGTCGCAACTGAGATAGAAAGCTGAATGGTATTCTTGGCCATAGATAAGCTTCCAAAATGAAAATAATCTGACCATAATCCCACCCGCTCTAAGCAAATAAATATTCCTTTAGATAGTCTATGGTATATAGTAGCACAACACTAAGTTTCTCCTCTAACTTAGACACCTGGAGCTAGAGTCTATTATAGATTCCTAGGTGAGGTTTCAGAGGGCTTTCTTACTCGCTTTCTCCTCGCTTACTGCATCAGATGCTGAGCAGATGTTCCTAAAGAATTTGCTAAATATGTTTACATTCAAGTTGTGGTTGCCCGCACGGATGTGCTTACATGCATATGCGCAACTTTCTGCTGTGCATCAATATTATGCTTAGAGGTTACTTAATGTCATCATTTTTTTTTTCTTTCTTTTTTTTAAACAACAAAGCAAAAATGAAATAAGAAAATGTATAGAAAAAAAAAAGCAAACACACAGTAAACTTAAGTTAATCATTAAATGTCTGAATAACTTGTCGAAAGTAAAAGTTTGTATATAAACACAAACAAAAGTAAATTCTCTTTTTAATTCATTACAAAGTAATTCAAAGGTGCAACATGCACGCTTTGCATATCAAAAGATGCGAGCTATTTTCGTTTACCGCGTCCGAGGAGCAATTCCCCAGACATGATTCTAATTTGTCTAAATGGATCTGGGATTTCATCCCTTCCTTTTATGATTAATAAATTTTTCAAGGCCCTTCAAGGTATTCTCTCACAAGTGGACATTTGTCGTCCAAATTCAGGATAAGTTATGTGCGGCGGGCTATAACTGAAACCAATAAAAATGTGCTGGCATGGCCGTCAAAAGCAAAGACTTTTTAGAATTATCAGCGAACTGTCGAATTTCGAATATCCTTTAACAATTTCGAGGACTTTCGGGAAAAGATATGCTTTTGTTTCCACAAGTTGAGCGTGAATGGGCTAAGCCGACGAGAGATGCGGCTAAAGGAATGCCAGTCCAATGAAAAGCTTTCTTTAAAGAAAACAATGTAAATACGTCCGCTTCTCCCGGTTCTCATAGTTTCCTGCAAAACTATAGCTAGCTTGCACTTTCAGTGCAAGTGATTCTGATAAGACGCTATACCTCTGCACTTTCTGACGCTGTTATGAATATATTTTTAAACATTTATGTTTGAGGCCTTTCTCCAAGTTGACCCACAGTTTATAATTCAGTTAATGACTCTTGTTGTTTTCTGTAAATTTTGTTATATTGGGTTTCATTTTTTGTGATTTGGTAAAGAATATATCCGTCCGTCGTGTAAATTAAGCGGTAGGTGTAATAACATTTGATTTTGAAGCTTAAACGATTTGAACCAAAGTGTTATTTGCACTAATTGTGTATACAATAAACTTTAATTTAAAAATAAATAAAAAAAAAAAAAATTATATAAATAATTTCATATGAACAATGGCATGATGAGGTGCATGCATTATTACTTAAACATTAGAAAATTGCTTACAAAGCAATAAAAACTTAAACTTGAAAAAAAAAAACAAGAAAAAATTTATTGAAACACAAACGAAATTTTGCATTAATAACATGTTTCTTTATTTTTACCGTCAAGGATGTGCTAATAAGCAACAAATTGTGAAAGTTTCCTGGAAACCGGAATAAATATATATATAGACGTCAAGATTTCAAAATTGAGATCAAAATTACATTTGCCTGACTTTGGGTTTCGTTTGAGTTAATTTCTGCGAATTTTCTTCGAATAAGTTAAGGTTTTATTCCCATTATGCTGCTATTATATCTGTCGCGAGAGCTTAGTCAGAATGTTTAAGAAAACATATCGTAGGAGATTAGTCACATCCATCAATCTACTTAGGGAAACCCATGCATATATGGCCCTGTAAGATGCTGTCATCTGCATATCAACAATTTGCATAAAGATATAGTTGCACCCATAACATGATAGAGAAATTTTCCTACTTTTTCAAGTATCATGAATTTTTTTTTTTTGTTTTTTAATCAAGATTTTAAAAATATTTGACCCGGACTGTGCGCATAGACACCTGGAGAGTTTAAAGCAACTTTGAGCCAATTTCTCTGGCAAAACCTCAAACTATTATTATAGTTAGTATAAGCCTGAGAAACAAATTCAAAGACTAAAGTCTTAAAGCGCATTAGCATCTAAGGCTTTCTGAGGCTTATTGAAAACTCTGCCGCACTTGAGATTCGAATCCACGGCCAATGAGTTGTCAGTCGAGATCCTTTGGCCCCTCATCTATCCAGGCGGACGACCTCAAAGCAAATAACATTCTTTCTTCTTATGTAAAGAGTACATCGATGTTGTTTATTTATAAGTGCCTTCTCGTGTGCGAAAAAATTCGTTCCAATATAAGTTCGTTCATCTTTTATGAGCTCAGTATATGTACGATGTTCTAATATTAGATAAATTTTAGTAACAGTATATGTACTTGTCAGGCGAATATTTCAATATTTTTCTTTTCCTCACTACTGATTACAAATGTTAATTAAATTTTTGATTAGATTAGATTTAGAAGGAAAAAGTATCAATGATTAGTTTTTATTATACTGCTGCCCCATAGCAAGCTTGAATTAGATTTTTACTTATTTAATACTTAAGTGCGTAACAAAAATATAAACACGTTACCGTGCATCTTATCATATAACGATGACAACGTATGTTGTCTAGATTGATATAAACGCTGCATTTTCAATATCTGCAAATCGCTTCTCTTCACTTTCAATTCACGTTCTATCATCAAACAACAAAAGGAATAAATGTAAAAAAAAAAAAAGTTTAAATTATAAATAAATTGTGTATACAATTAATTATATTGAGGTTTAGCTTGAAATATATAAGGTTTTGTACGACAATTCGAGAGAAAATAAAATTTGAAAATTTTATTAAATAACTAACAGATGCGCAAATACAAGTACGTATGTATATGTGTATAACCGGTGCAAATAATCGCTGCCACTTCCCCCTACCCCCTACCCCCTTGACTACATTCTACTAAAGAGCTCTGTACATTTTTGTATTAATTATTTAAATTACGTAACGCGATTACAAATTGACGTCTCCTTAAAGACGTGGAAACTAACTAATTACAAATTGTACAAATCTATCATAACAAACTTCCTATGGCGATATGATTGATGCACACATTTCAAATTTGAATTAACGGCCAACATTACGTCAGATATAGTTTAGTAAGAATATGAAAAACTTGATAATTAATTGTGGCTTTTAGCTGGCATTGAACTTGAAACCAGATTTTAAAGGCGAATGTATTTTAATTATATAAATTTTTTAATTCACGCTTTAACCACAGTCGCTGGTATACGATAACACACTCAAGCATAAATAAAAAGAAAGTGTAAACCAGAAAATTTTAAAATAAATTCACACACCCTTCAAGCCCCCCAAGTAATACGACAGTTGCCCTTTTTTCCCCAAGCAGGATTTTGTTTGTTCACTTGGAACGGATCCGTAGTGGGGCCTTTGTAGCTTTGCTCTTCTAATTCGTAAAGAAAGGAACGCAACTACGCACTATTGAATGCCGTCAAATTTTTCACTTTCATGGACATGAGTCACGTGTTCTATTGATTAAAACTTAAATACATTTTTTTTATATATATTCTCTAAAACCAGTCGTAACCGATTCAATCTGATGAATAGATTGCCGTAAAGCAATTGTTGACACTTCGTTACATTGATTTTACTCGTACTCGTACTCCCATTAGTAGTTTAATCTTTAAAAAATCACCTGTTCGCTGAGGCAAGACGGCAGTCGTGCTATCTTGAAGCGAGTAAATGAAATCAAATCAATGAAAAAACGAGATTAGAAACGCGGCAATAATTTTAAGAAGTGCCCCGATTGTTGTTAGGCATTAAAAAGGCAATGACAACAACAACAAAAATGCTAATGAAAAAAGTGAAATCGATTACTGACACTAGCTCCACGCTCCACCGTAGCGAAAGAAGGTCAAAGTTCTGGCAGTAATTAATTAAAAACTATACTCTTTCATTTAATTTACATATGTATGCACTCATACACACGTGCAATAATATGTAAAGGTATTATTCGGTTGTTATTCGGGGGGGTCTTAATGAACACTAAAGCTCACGCTATATTCCGGCAAAATGAAAAAAAGAATATTTTAAGTTTAACAAAGTAAACATTTCCTTTAATCATGTATATATATATATATACATATATAATTGTTTTGCAGGGTTTGGCTTTTACTATTACGGAGCGTCAAATTTTGGGTATACACGGTCTGTTGCCTTATGTCGTGAAAACGGATGAAGAACAAGTAAAGCACTGTACGATTTTATTGGATCGCTTGGAAAACGATTTGGATAAGTTTATGTACTTAAGCGATTTGGCCGAGCGCAATGAACGTCTCTTCTACAAGCTATTGGCTTCAGATATAGCGAAGACGATGCCTTTGGTTTACACGCCCACGGTGGGTTTGGCTTGCCAAAAATACAGCTTGATCTACACAAATCCAAAAGGCTTATATATATCTATTAAAGACAAGGGTCATGTATATGAAGTGTTAAGGGTAAAAACTTTTCAATACCGTTAAATGTTTCTACGATATTAAAAGTGTATTTGACTTGATCTCTTCTTCCAGAATTGGCCAGAAGCCGACGTCAGAGCTATAGTAGTTACGGATGGCGAACGTATTTTGGGCTTAGGTGATTTAGGCGCCAATGGTATGGGTATACCTGTTGGCAAACTGGCTCTCTACACAGCCTTGGCGGGCATTAAACCGCACCAATGTTTGCCGATTACTCTCGATGTCGGTACGAATAATGAGACTCTACTTGCTGATCCGCTTTATATTGGCATGCGTGCGAAGAGAATAACTGGACAAAAATATGATGAATTTCTTGATGAATTTATGCAGGCTGTTGTACGGCGCTATGGACAAAATTGTTTGATTCAATTTGAAGATTTTGCCAACGCCAATGCGTTCCGATTATTGGATAAATATCGTGATCAGTATTGTACCTTCAATGATGATATACAGGGCACGGCTAGTGTGGCAGTTGCTGGTCTGTTGGCCTCATTGAAACTTAAAAACACTAAACTAACCGGAAACAAGATTTTGTTCTTTGGAGCCGGTGAAGCGGCACTAGGCATAGCCAGTTTGTGTGTTATGACTCTAATGAAAGAGGGTTTAAGTGAGGCGGAAGCTAAAAAGCATATTTGGATGGTGGATAGTAAAGGTCTTATTGTTAAAAATCGTCCAGCTGGCGGTTTAACAGAACATAAGGAGCATTTTGCTCAAGATCATCCGTCTGTCAATACACTGTTGGATGCCGTTAAGACGGTAAAACCTTCCATACTAATCGGAGCTTCTGCCGTAGGTGGCGCTTTCACTACCGAAATTCTAGAACTAATGGCCGAATATAATGAAACACCGATTATTTTTGCTTTATCAAATCCCACCAGTAAAGCTGAGTGCACAGCCGAGCAGGCCTACTTTAGCACCAAAGGCAGATGTATCTTTGCCTCCGGTTCTCCATTTAGTCCGGTGGAATACAATGGTAAAAAATTCCATCCCGGACAAGGCAACAACGCCTATATATTCCCAGGAATAGCATTAGGCGTAATATGTTGCGGTATGCTGACCATACCAAAGGAGATATTTTTAATAGCTGCCGAAAAACTGGCGGATCTTTGCGATGATAACGACTTGCAAATGGGCAGTTTATATCCGCCTTTAGAAAAAATTACGCCATGTTCTGTGGAAATAGCCAAGTACATAATGGAATATGCCTATCAAAAGGGTAAGTCGTTACTGCCACAATAAGAGTTTCTTATCTCACAGTTTTTATCTTATCAACTTTGCCCGTACAGGTTTAGCTACAGTCACGCCCGAACCCAAAAATATAAAAGAATTCATAATTAATCAGATGTATAAACTGGATTATCCATTTGCTTTGCCAGAGACCTATTCCTGGAATAACACTAAAGAGTAGGCGTTTAAGTGCGCGATAAAAGATTATCTAATAACATTTTCTTAGAAGACGGAAAACAAAAGTCAAAGAAGATATTACAAAATAGCCAGGAGTATCATAATGAAACAAAAGTTGGAAAAAATCTCCCAAGAAAACGTTCCTTTAAATAAAAGCATGTATTACATTTTCTACGAACTTTAATTATTAGGCAGGTCCGTCTTGATTATCATCGGAAAACATTTTGACCCTCTTTAAATGTTGTAGTATTTAGTGTGAAGCACTTGAAACGTGTGATTATCCTCCCCCTCTTGCTCTCATTTTATTAAATTTACTATTTAAGGCATTATCATTTTGAACTATATAAATCAGATTTTCTTCTTTTTTTTTATTGTCATTGGAAAGAAGAGAAGAAACTATCCTCTTTTCATAATCATTCCATTTCACTTATAAGAATAATTATCTCTCGTTCTATGTATCTTAACTATTATTTATTACTGCGATTACAAGTGCAAGTATATATGAAACCGCTTATCATCTAGTGGAATATAATATGATCCGTAGGTGATCAATTGCGTTTTAAATGCACCCAAAATGAAAAATATTTTAGTTTAACCCTTGAAGGTCTTTTTGTGTTGGAACTTTTTATTTTCTTCATATCTCTTTTCAAAGTGATTTATATACGCATTAATTATATCGCTTGTAATATAAATACATTAATTATGGATATGTATGCGCACGCACACACATATGTATAAATAAAGTCAAAATAATTATAAAAAGCATAGATAACAAAAAAGTTTTACTTCAAATCGGAAAAAGTTCAATGTACAGGGAAAGTTTGGTTTCCGGTGGCATATTGATTACGAAAAGCAAGATAATTTAGAGCGGGAAAATATGTCCTGTGAAGTATGAAGTACGAAGAAAGTATGCCGATTACCATCAACGAAGCACTTTCAATATTTTGCTTATAATTCGTATCGTATTTATTCGTATTAAGTCGTAAAAAAGAAAGCTGTCAGCATGTCAAAGGTAAGCGACAAAACTATAATGAAATACGTTGAAGTAAAGTGCACTCGCACTTTTGCCTGAATCGCAAACTGGCAAAGTGATAAGAAAAACCGTGACTGTAGGGGCAGCGAAGGAAAAACTACGATATGTTAAGGGGTATTTGAGGAGGCAAGAAAAAAAAAGGATCGAAAATTATTATTTGATTTCATTATTTTGTAAACTCTTTTATTCTCATTGATTCCAACATGAATGTACATGCAAAGGTCGGTTCAGGGTTTTCTAGCTAACTCGAACACGAATGTCAAAGTTGGATTGAAGATTCTTTAACCAGCTTTAACCAGCACTCATTAACAAGCATTGGTTTGAGGCTGGTTGATTGCGTATGAATGCTTGCTCGATATCGAAAGTAAGACGTCATACTTTATCTTGGCAGCAAAATAAAAAGGCACATATTTGTACAAATTACGATCTATAGGAAGATAAAAACCGAGAAAGACACTTTCAACTCAACTACTAGCATTGGGTTTAGGTCTATCAAGAAGAAAAAGAGAATGCTTTCCTCTCTTTCTACTTTCATGAACAAGTAAATATCAAAAACCTTGCTGAGTACATATAAGATCGGTTTTTCTTCCGACTTTTTGAAGGCATTGAAAACATGATAAAAGAGATTCAAAGTATTTGCAACAATATACACTTACCACTTCCGAACCGGTAGCATAATCGCAAATTGTTGATGTCTTTAAACGAAATATCAAGGTTAACAACAACGCCTCTCTATTACGCTACCGAGAGAAATCTTTTTCTTTTTTTTTTATAAACGAAGATTGATGCTTTGATCAAAAACACAATTTTTTCAATTACAATTCGTTAGATATATTTAGGATCATATTCACCAATTGATCAAATCAATTTTGACTCTCAAAGAAATCAAATTAAACATGAACTTTAGAAACTCAAAAAAAACCAAAAATTGCTAATTAAAAAAAAATAGACTGCCGCCACTTGTTATACATCTTGCAACTAAAATAAAACTGTACCGCTATGCAAGAATGTTTTGAATAATTATAAAAATTCTTGATGAATGGTAAGACTAACATATTTTTTATCCACCTTTTGGTTAATCGATGAACAAAATAAAGAATATGTATACGCAGCACTGTTCATAGCGGTTAATTAAATTTGCTTTTTATATTTGAAAATATATTTTTACAAAAATAAATGATTGAGACAAATATAATTACTTCTACAACAAATTCGTTTCTTAAATATCCTACAATTCAGATGCGTAGTTTAAGAAATCGCTGAACTTTTCAAATGCTTTTTAATTTGCTCCAAACATATTTGTCCACTTTTTTTGTTATTTATAACTAAGGCACCATACGTTAGTTTATTTATTAGCTGGCTTCGCTTCCTTAGCAGTCTACTGAGAGCTGGCATATTTGTGTTGCAATTTTTCATGGCTCTTTTGGCATCATACTTCTTGTATATACAGCAGTTAAAGATTTGTTTGATTTGAGCATTTGGTAACCGCGCAAAGGCTGCCGACATCTCCAAACTCAACTTTTGTCTATTTCTTTGGTATCTACTTTAATTGCTTTAGTTTCCGAATTAGGAGTCACTTTCCCTGTTTAAGTTTGCCTGAATCGTCGGCTACACGTTCTGCTCCATCTTCCTTCCTCTATACCTGGTTGAGCTAAGGTTCGTAATGATCTATACACCTACCCGCTATTGTTTGGGCATTATTTTGGACAAATGCAAAAGTCCTTCGTCTTCCTTATTAAATTAAATAATGGTTTCCAAGGAATACTACTAGGAAAGTTACCTCAATTCTCCAATCTGCAAATCGGTGAATGAACAGCATCCTCAGCACGTTTGCATGGCGGGGGCGAGTGGATGTGACCATCACGTCACATGACTTGATGACCTTCTCATCAGAGGAAACAATTTCCTAGTACAGGATATAAATGTTCTACATCTGCACACATACCGCATATTCTTCTTTTTAAATCAAATGAATGGCACTCGAAATGTCATTTTTGGAGTATGGAGAGTTGTTCGTGTATATTAGCGGCACATCACATATTTCCAACAGATGTTTTTTACAGTATTGCCATTCATTATGTTAATGTATAACTTAACCAATTTTACCAATTTTAGAAGATATGATAAAAAGATTACCGTATTAAAGTTCCGATTTAAATCAAAGAAATGAAGGTTTGTTTTATAACTAAATTTATAATGCTCCATTACGCCTAATTACAGTCAATATTAAATATTAATTTTTATTTAGCGACAACTAGGCCGCCAATTAGTTGATGAGCTAAAGCAAAAACAAGTGAGTACAACATCATCATCGCGTCCAATTTGGAGGAGTAAATTTACATCCCTTTTTCTGACATTTTCAGGCTATTACATTTAGTTTGATAAATAAAATTTTGTATTCCAAACGATTGTTAGTGGATCACGTGCAAGCATTGGAAGAATTTATGCGCAATAATGAACAAAAGCAAAATAATGCAGCTGATGAAATTGATGGTGCCCTTAATCAAAAGCTAATATGGTCCGAAATATTTACGGCGCGTAATACGTGTATTGCGCTAGGCTCAACAATTTTGGAACATTTTATAACACCACGTTTTCTGCGTTTTACGCTTGTCCCGTCGGTATTGATTACGAGCGGCTTTAGTGCTTTGTACACTATTAAATATTTGTTTGGTGTACGCAACAAAATTGTAGAGACTGAGCTAGAGAATCTTGTACGCACTATTGATGACTTTGGAAATTGTATACGACGCAACATGACGTATTTTAATGAAATTATTGTCATGAAACAACAAGAGCTCATTGAGTAACTTTAAAGTATTTAAACACAATAATCTGATATGCAAAAATGAGTAATTCTAGGTCACGACAAATTGAGAGAGCTTGGGATTGCATAACAGCTGCCAAGGAAGTAACAGAGATATTATTTGAGGCTACAAGGAAACTTGAATCACAATATCCTCTGCCTTCTCGTTTCTCGCAGTATTATGCACCTTTAGAAGACCTTAAGAATTGTGAATTTTTCGAAAACAATGTGACTGATTATAGTCCTAGACATATTAAGGTATAAGATGTCGGGTTTAACGAACAAAACAGAATAATTTTCTTATTTTTATACTTTTAAGGATTTTCATAATATCTTTGCGTATGTCCAATCGCAATTTTTGTTACGCTTGGCTTTAACTCTTTACACAAAACCTTCGTTAAGCCAATTAAACCGGGAATTAGTCAAAATCGAGAATTTAATACGACAACTGGCATTGGAGGAAGAAAACCATTTTAAAAATCTTACCATCGAACTGAACAAAGCAAAATGTTTAGAATTGCAATCTTTGAATGAAGATAAAACCGTAAAAACACGCAATGATCCTATCGGTATATTACAAGACTCCTCACTTAAACTTAGTGCTCGTATGGTAGCTGTCGCAGCCGAATGCCAGGCTTTGGATATAACTTTACAGCGACTTAACCAAATTGAAACGGAGAGTAAAGACAGCGCTAAATCTTTAGTGCAAGTGGCCAACAATATGCATAGTATTGAAAGCGCTTTATCGATTTGTTTTGATGATTTCCAGCGCTTAATATTGGTCTACAACAGATTTCTAACTAACAAGTTAGAATTAAATGACGGGAAAAGAAAGCAAGACGAAGCCCCACAAACTTCAAGCGAAGAATTTCCTGATAGTTTTTTGCGTGTTGAAATTTCGGAATACCCTTCAGACACCGAAAAGAAAGATGATTTCTATGCTTATATTTTTGATGCAGAACGAAATGAGAATGAAGGTAAGAAGGAGCGCGAGGAACGTGAAAAGCTCTCTCATGATTTGGAAATTTTAAACTTTGAAAAACGTGTAACCAGAGGTAAATTTAGGCCCGTTCTAAAACAATTAAAAGAACGCATTAATCCTATACGCCAAGTAATGCTTGAAAAAGAGCGCGAAGTTTTGGCCGCAAAAGGTATTAAGATTAGCGAACTGTTTCCCAATGAGCTGACTAAGGACAAACAAATATCTGAAGAAAGCGGTAATACCACAGGGGATGAAGACTTTGCCAGTGATAGTGAAGGCTTGGCGGATTTGGAATATAAGAAACGATCCCGTAAAGTTAAAGAACACGACAATTTTGAAGAATCGCGCAATTTCTTAGCCCAAAAGCCAAATCTTAATTTATTTAAACTGGACATACCACCTCCATCAAATATTCTCGGTGACGAAAGTATACTGGAAAGTGAATGTTGAACATTCATGTTAAACCATATGAATGTGGTTTATAATTTTTCATGGCTTTCAGCCCACTCTCACACGCTGCAACATCATTTTTGTTCCTTATGCTTATACTACAACGTTATTTATTTTTTTCACGTTTCTTTTTTGAATGCTTTTATTTAATTAAGAAAAAAGTTTCCGTATTAATATATGTGCCTTCTATCCGAAAGTCCAAATATACAATTTTTTTACTTCCGTCTCTTTAATGCTAGTCGATCATATCAGCAAGCAATGATTTGTAAAACATTTATTTAAAAAACTAGTTCTCATTACATAAAAATATACATCTATATAAATTCTGTTAAAAAAAAAAAAAAAAAAATGTAATTTCAAAAGGTTTTTTCTTACATCTAGTAAACTGAAGAAAGATTAAGTACCTTGAAGACAATAATGGCAATGGATTCTTAGAATAAATCTTAAGTCTTATTTATATTACATGCTTTTCGTATATGTATAGGTTTAGGAAAATCTACATTTTTAACATAATAGTCTTTGGTCTGAAATTTGTGATATTTGCCTAACCTACATATATATAGAAGAAGAAGACATCTGTATACACAATTACATAGGCGATGGAACAAATTAAATACTGAAAAATTTAATTAAAAAAAACATAAGAAACCCATAACTAAATTCCATTATTAGTATTGGCGTGGCCGTGCGAAAATGCTGACAAATTGCTGCTGCGTACGCTGGTGTAACGTATCGGTTCAACGCCGAAATCTTCACGCTTTAAACGTCTTCGTATGCATACGACAATAAAACCTATAATTAAACCTAGAATCACTACAACGGTGGCGGTGACAACAGTTAAAATAATATAACGTTTTCTACGAAAACGCGGCGGATCTTCGTCGACAACACGATATTTTTTCGGTATCTGTAGCGCACATATTTGCGCGGACGTCAAATTTGACAATCTGGCGCCCGATAATAAATATGGAGCTTCACAACGTACATCCTGGTCAACGACATCCTGATAATCCTTTCCGATTATATATTCCAACGTTTGAAATAATTCGCAATCGCACATCCAGTGATTCCCTTTAATGTTGAAAACTTTTAACTCAATCCATGGCTTCGGTGAGACATCGTAGTTTTTATTATTGGGCTCTAAAGCTGATAGATCCATATTGAGGGCAAGTGTATTTATGTTACAAAAGGACAAATCCAACTGAAACGGTTCCAAAAAAGCAGAGAACCAGAGAAACGTTTTACGTCAATTGAATTGAAGTTTTCCTTAAGCAGATCTTTGTTCTCCGGCTATTGCTGTCTTAACTTGTTCTTATTTTGCATAGTGCTGTTAGCACATAGTACTATTGGAGCAGTCTTAAATTTGTTTAGATAATTGCGTATTGAAAGAGCACTACCACGAATTACTTACAGACATTGTAACAATTGCGTCTTCTACTTTGTTAAATCTTCGTCAACCAAAGAGACTGGATTCGTGGAATGCTTAGGATACAATATAGTCATATCCATTCCTCATTCCTACTGCTAAAGCAATAATCGCAATCTCAAGTACTTTATGTAAAGAAGACATACTCGATCTCATGTCTTTGCTGTCCCATGACATGAAGTTAAGTTGAATTGATCAAATCCGCACTTTAAATCGCAAAAATGCGCAGAGCATAATTTATATGCATAAGCAGTCTAATGCATTATAGTAGTATCGTGAGGAGTATTGAACACTGAGTCATGTCTCATTAGACTGCATTTTTTTTGGAAAACCCTTTTTAAGTAGAATGCAAAAAGAGTAATTCTTCAAAGTGGATGTTTTTCGTAGCATGAAAAATGTCGGTCCCAGCCACACTATTTTTCTTCTTGGTTTAAATTCCAATATTCTAAATAAAGGTAAATACTTACGTAAGTTAAATTTCCGCAATGCATCAAACTATCCAAATCGAATTTTTTCAAATTCGGATTGTGAGAGCATTCCAAATAAGTTAAAGTCTCCAGGCGTGAGAAAGTATTATTTTCAATACTTTTTAAAACCGGCATGTAACTGATATTGAGATGCGTTAAAACCTTCAAGCCCAGAAAGCTTTCCTCATTGAAATTACTGAACAGATTGTTGGCCAAATTCAAGTAGAGCAAACTACGGCCAATTAAATAAAAACTGTCCGGTAAACGGGTGAATTCATTGCCGGCCAAATTCAAATACTTTAGAGATGTGAGATTTTCAAAAACCAGATTTGGTATGGTTTTAATACCCGCATAAGAGAGATCCAGAGACTGAAATAAAAAATGATTTACTTATACAAGTTTGCAATGATTTTAAGACACTTTACTTTCATTTAATTACCTGTAAAGTAGTAGCCGAAGCTAAAGCTAAACTGGTAGGAATATCTAACACTTTGTATGGATTAAAACTCAAATTCAATCGCGTCAGGTTGGGGGTATGTTCAAAGATGTGACGATCCAACGATTGCAATTTGTTATGACTTAAGTCCAATTCGTATAAAGCTATCGGTTCGTAATTTTTAGTATGATAGGGCCCCCGAAATACGTCTGGTACTAGTTCGTCGCTTTCAATTTCGTTCCAAGCCAAGTCCAAAGTGTTTATATTTGGCACGTCCATAAAAGTAGGAACTTGCAAACGTTTAATACCGCAGTGTCGGCAAGAAAAATATAACGTAGCGTTCGTTGAAGGTAGCTGCTGTAATACGTCAATGGTGTTACCTGAGAAACTCGCCACTATTATCACGGGATCCCCTGTGAATAATAATTCATTAATTCATTATTAATCTATTGCCTTAAATCGAAGGCCCTTTTTACCTCTTGAGGTATTACCAAATTGTACAGGCCACCTGGCCAGAATATGTTTAAAGCCTTTCATCGTGCAATTAAGGATATCGTAAAATTGTCTATTATTCCCAGTACCGTGAGCTTGTCGGCATATACAAGTTTCGCAAATATTTTCTACATTTTCGTAAGGAATACTTTCGTGTTGACCCACACATTGGAGCCATAAATTCACCAAAGTTGAAAGCGCGAATAGCTGTAAAACCCAAATTATACGTTAGGCTATGAAAAACAAACAACATTTTTCTTAATAGTTTAGAGAGAGAATGAGAGCAATGAACGCACTTACAGAAGAAGAAAAGCGAAACGACTGCAAATAATTAGATCGAATATGTTGGGCTGCGAGCTAAAGAGTTCAAAATCAAAATTAAACGCAAAGATTACCTAAGGCTAAGTTTGGCCAACATTTAGTTTTCTGTTCAAATGAATTATCCTTGTTCAAGAAGATATTTCCTCTTTCGCATATATTCACCGCAATCTTCAGATCAGCTTTTGGGTAAAGCTAATTAAAATCTGTTCTAGCAGGGTGAACAATAAGGAATGATTTCGGTCTATTCGACTTTTTAACGTGGGAAAGGTCATTATGCGAGAAAATTTCATATAGATCGAGTGCTTCTGGAGTGCTTAAGCTATTGTTACTTATTGGACGGACGGGAGATTGTTAAGAAGGAAGAACAAGATGCAGCAGTGGGTCTGTAAAACGACGAATTTAAGATTCAGCTTCGAATGTTGTGCTGATGGAATCCGGAACGCTACCATACGAGCTAAGCTATACGCTAAAATAACTTAAAGCAGCATTCGTCCGTAACATTGGAATAATTTATAATGGATATACACTTCAAATTTGGCAGTACCGCTTGTCAAGGATATGTCAAATGTTGTTAAATGGGTTCTTGCAAAAAAATCCTTTAAAAAGGGGTTCGAATTCCCCGCAAAGAATATATTCGCAACTTATTCCCCGGGAACCTCAAGTTCAGATTTTAAACTTTCCGGTTAGGGTGAAATAATTTTGCCTACAAAGCACCGAAAAGATTTAATCGGATACGCTTTACCATATTTTACATGCGAAGACTTGCCTTATGTGTTGCTTTATATGATTTGGTAGCAAGAATGCCTTTTATATCCAAATTTTTATTATTTTAAGATCTCAATGCCGATCTCTTCACTGATATCTAACTCATGTCCCTATTAATTACAAAAAGAATAAAATACCGAACAGCCGATGGCTGCTCGTAAGAATACACGAAGTTATTACAAAAATGCTGAGGGCACCAACGGTAGGAAAAAAACTTCAAATTAATGGAACATTGCTGGTATCGGTGGGTTGAAAAAGACTTATATACACTTACCAGAGCGAGATGGTTTAGTTCCATGTTGGCGCCGCAATGTCGGATCAAATTGTACAGGAAATTGCTATCTGTCTATTATTTATCGTAAGTCAGCCAATGAAACGAACTGATTGGCGAATTCTTTGATTTGTGAAAATTACTGGATCGATGCGGTAGCATTTCGTTTCACTGTATGCGTAATCATTTCATTTTTACGTACTTAAGATACACGGGCGTGTTATCAACTTTCCGTTTTATTTCAAAATTTTCTTTTCGATTCTAAAGTTCATTTATTTGATACGCGATTTATTTTTTTACTTTCATACTCGGTATGTGTTCTAAATAAACAAAACAAAAAATTTTTCCCATTTCCGTGTTAAAAAAGGAGAAAAAAATATAAAAAAAATTTAAAAGAAAATCCGATAATGCTGTTAAAATGACGAAAAGTGAGTAAAGTCAAATATTCGCCTCTTAACTAAACAAAGCTTTAGCACCCGCACTCGCACCCGCACCGCCAGGTGTTAAAAGAAAGAGACTTGAAAGGTGAACTGACTGAACTGAATTGTTGTAACCGTTAAATGTACAAACTACTTATGTACGAATGTACGAATGCATACATGAATTGCGAATGTGATAAAAAAATAAAGAAGAAAAACAAGAGTTCGATTAGATAAGATGGTTAGTAGTTTTTACAACCGCAGTACACAGTATTTCGTTAAATGTTTGCACACAAATGTAAGCCACCAAGAAAGCCATCGAAACCGTATAGCATGAAAAATGACTTCTTAATGGACTTACGGCTTTCGATCGACTTTGAATTAAATCTGTCTATCTATCCAGCCGTTGAAAGTACACACACTAACACAATGCGAATGTTTTGAATCGAAAGCTGAATTTAATCATAAGCTGCCCGAGACCCAAAGGTGGCTTAAGTCAATGCAATAATTCACGCACACTACGCAACATCAATAACAAATGTATTTAGTGTGAAATAAACACATACACAACGTGTGTATGCATAATTTTGTTTCTCTCTTATTGGCCTGATACTTTAGCTGAGGCTGCAGTGAGCTTTGTTGAATTTCACCTGTAACTAATCGTTTTTCGGGCAAGCCGGTGGAATACTGGAATAGGTGTATGCGAAGATTTTGAATCTGTTATTCATTCTCCCAAGGTAAGCCGTATGTATGCCTCCCCATGACAAGCAGTATTATCTTATCTACTCGTCGTGATAGTTTCATATCCAGAACAAGATGGTTCCCAATATTGAATAAGTTCGTTTATCGATTGACGAAAAATTTGTGATTCCATGATAAGAAAAATCCATACTTTATCGACAGCTATAAGCTCTCTACTCCTGATAGTGCTCATGCATCATTCGTCCTATATATGCTTATTATTTTCTTTAACATATGTAGGAAAAATTTCCAGCATAACAACAAAACTGACGTTGATTAACACCAGATACATGTATGCGTGCAAACAATTTTCTTCTTGAAGGCTACATATGCTTTTAGTGCAAGTAGCAATCTCGCCTGAAGCACAGACACATTGTAAGGTGTATATATATTCTCGGTCTATACCGGATTCTTCCGGGCATGTCCATCGGTCCAGTGGTGCGCAAATGTCTGTCGTTAACATCCTTCGGGACAAGAAGCTTCACATTTCAAAAAGAATATTGGAAGTACAGAGTACCTGAGCAAGAGTGGAAATCATAGGCTACGTACGTCTGACATTATAGAATATCGAAATTCCATTTTTGGTTTTCTTCTTCAATTTCCTTATCTTTTCTTATTGTTAATGTTTTAATCAATTAAAGCGCATAGACACCAACAGACAAACAAAAGTGTTTATTTATCAGATCGTAAACATCTCCATTCATTCCCGTCTGAATCATGAAATTTAAAACGAAATATGAAAACTTTCGACCGCACAAACTATTTACAAACCACTGCACAAAATGATCAACAAAAAGTTTCTCACTAACACTGAGTGTGTTAGGAAAGCAAAGGAATGTTAAGACAAATCATAACGTGCAACGGAGCATACATATTAAAATGTGCAACGTCTTCACCTATTTAGGGAACTTGTTATTATCAGCGGCATTACGTTTAATGTTTAAAAAAAAAAACCATTAACATAAACATGTTAATGAATCACTTGCTTTAAAGTCAGCAATAATTCAAAATATTACTAACAAACAAAGTATACTCTCGAACTACTATTCGAATGGAAATAATTATAAGAAATTATTAGTTAGTCCTTGTAACACTTAAATGGATGATGGAAGTGATTTTTATTAACCATTTCCTAATCGATTCGTTTTCTTATACGTCTGCTTAAATTAATTACTATCCAACGTCGATATCAATTTGTATTTGTATTAATGAAGTTCGCGCTGCACAATTTCCACTCTTTTTTTTCTTTTTTCTTTTTTTTTTTTTTTATATTTCACATTGCAAGTCTTGTTGACTTATGACATTCCTTATGAGTAATATCCAGTGAGATTTTTTTATGAAAGAAAAAATACTTTATTCGTCCGAGAATGTGCAAAAATATATGAATGAATGAATGAATGAGTGAATGAATGAATGAATGAATATTGAATACGTAAACATAAATTTGCATTTGCACATGGACACACACGCATGCCGTCTTTTTATGCGTAGATTTTTAAGAACGCTACCAATTTGAAGACGGTATGCTAAATTATTCTTTCCGCTTGTATCAAGCGATTATAATTTTCAAAAATACCAGATATCAAATATACACATATACATATTTTTGATTAGCGTAAGATACTGTATCCGTATGCTTGTCTCGATCTACGTTCACAATAGGTAAACAATGGTAAGGTAGCTGCAAAGGCTGCAAATATTATCCACAACACATTTTAAAGGGTTTGCGTAAAAGCACTTCAAACATGCAAAAAAATAATTTACTTTTGTGCATGCATTTAAAAATACGTATTAAACGTTCGTCTCGATAGGAATGTCAATTTAATTCTTCTTCTCCTTACAAATTAGGTCGATTCCACGTTTCAAACTTAAACGATGACTAAAACTTAATAAAAGTAAAAAAAATTGAATTTCTTGAATTTCTGAACGGTAAGCTGTTTTTTGGTTCAAATGCAAAATTTTAAAGTTTATCAAACTGGTCCACCTTTGAAAGAAGAGATAGAAACAGATTCAATTTGAACCAACTACGTATAAGTGGAATGAACACTTGTTGAGTGGACCTGATTCTATATCTTTGGCGGGAATTGCCCCAACAAGTTCTCTCGACAAAGATCTTATCGTCTTGAAGATACTCTCTTGCACAACGGCAGCGAAAGATGTTTTCTTTCAATCGGCCATTCCATCAAGAACAGGGAACCTCATGCATGCACTATTTAATATAGCTCTGAGCTCAGATTACAAAAGACCTTTAAGAGTCTCAAATATTTTACACCTGAAAATGACTTATCCACCTTTGTAAGTTTAAGATCCTATTATTCTTTTTTACAAACGTCAAGTCCACTGTTACCTATGTGAGAGTATCAGTATGCCTCGGATAGTATCGATGTCTTCCCTAAGTTGAAAAAGTCCCAGGCTAATGCTACCGAGTGTAGTATGTTCATATTCAATAGAATGCATAGGATATTCCATAGTACTAGTTTTTTCAGCTTAGCAGTTCTCTCCTGAGTGCTCTTTCATCAAAAGCTTATAACTGGCGTTAGTGGAAAGAAGTCGAGTCGTCGGTTAAATAGTTCAAAAAAAAAAAAAAATGAGCCTCCTTGGAAAAGCCAAATTTCATTTCATTTTAATCAGTTCGCACTCATAAATACAGACATTTACGACTAACGTTATATATATTTTTTTGGGGGCTTGATAAATATTAGATCGAAATTCGAGGCGAGATTCAATTGAATAGTTTAGTTGATTGTTATTTATTAAGATAAGTGTTTTCTTAACGTTAATTAAAGTAAACGAATTATGTTAAAATTTGTAGCGACGAATTAATCTGCACATTACATGCAAACATGCATTAAATAAGAATTTGAATAGGCATAGTGAAGGAAGAGCGAAGAGCAATTGAGTGGAAATGTACCGTGAAATCGAACGTCTTTTGTTAAGATTACCGCATGTAATGGAATAAGAGGAGATCGTCGCTGCCCGTTTGTTCGTTTGTATACAAATCGAAACTAATCAAACGCGTTTTTCTTCTTCCCTAACATCGGCAATACGTTGCACTTTTAACGTAAAACGTTCATCGTTTCATTCAAAACACGTCACACAAAGTGTAAAAGTGTAAAGGCGAGAAAGCAGTAAAAACGAACGAATTTCATAATTAAATCCTGACGGGATATTAAATAGTAATATAGATATAGATTGATATAGATGGACATTTTTTTGATTCTATTAAATTATTTTAATTTTTATTCTTTACACTTGCTTTTAATTGCATTGCATTTGTTTTTTTTTTTCACAAAATTAGTTCAAGCGCCACAAAATGTTCAACGATTTCCCGCTGCCATTATTTTACAAGTAGACCCGCTTTTTGCCCTTGTGGGCATATCTTTGTCATCCCCCGAAAGCGAATATTTAAATGTATGTGTGCCTAATCAAAAAATAGTATTTTTACGTGTATTAGCGCACAAATAGAAAGTTAAGGAACACATAGAATTTACACGCGCGTATTGAGATACACAGCCGATATGCTGGATTGTATTTCTTTACATTTGCTTTGTACCTGGAAATTCGATTTTTTTGCTTATTCTATTTTCGTTTGAATTTGCTGAGAATATGAAATGAAATTCAATTTCTGAGAGTAAAATTTACTCTGCTGTCTTTGCTGTGCATTTCTTTATCGAGGGTTCAAACAAAATCTACAAAATGTTTCGATTTATATGCACGTTTCTTTATGTTTCTTTCTCTCTTTCTCAGAAATCAAAGAAATCCTCTCAGAGCAAACAATATTTTACAATAACAATGCTAAATAATCCAAAGATGCTGCCAAGTAACCTTACTTGCGTGCTGTGAGAGGGAGAGAGAGAAAGAGTATTGAAAGTGAATATTAAACTGGCTCAGCAGTATTTTTGTCGATCGCGGCTTGAAATCTAAGAGAAGCATATAACAATGCGAGTGAGCAAAACTAAGCATTAACAATAACAATCAAGTAATAAAACATAATAAACAATATAAAGCAAAGAAACAATCTTATGCTTATACATCTGTAGGGGAAAAAAGCGTTGAAGAGCTGTGGTCACGATATGGTCACGAAACTAAAGCCAATTTTAGGAAAATTGTATTAGCCCTCTGGAGCTTTGTGTTTCTCCTAATACTTACGTCTAATTCTTAACCAATATTTAGTCAATATTCAAGATTGTGACTAAAGTGACTAAAGTCTGTACAAGACTTGCGAGCTTCCATTGTTTTTGAGAAATGTGACTTTTTGTAGGAAATACAAGTAAGATCCGAGAACAATCTATACTCAATCTATATTCAATTTGGCAACAATAAAAGTTTCATCAAGGAGGGGCCAAGTAGCCATTGATTTGTATCTACCGAAAAATATCAATTTCCAAGAACGTTACGATGCATTTAGCATACTTCTCTTCCTTCTTGATGATGAATTGAAAAAAATAAAAAATTTTATTTCTATAATCACAGGACTGAAATGAAATGTACAGATACTTAAGGAATATGTGCATCTGCAGATTGCCCAAACAACACCATTCATATCACATTTATTGTAATTTAAAAATAATGTAATTTCAGCGTATGTTTGTATATGTCTGTATGTAATTCGTAAACTTGCAGATCGCTAACGCTCACGCGATTTAAGTTCCCACCAAGCACATTGCGCCCAAACCAATACAACAACATTCACTCAATTCGAAGTTGCATACCGCAAAAGCCAAGAAATGAAAAACCTCTTTACCAAAAATAGTTACCGCTAAACCGGTCTGATTTTGTTATGCTTGCTTCGTTTTTCTTTCTTTTTTTTCGCTTTTGCTTCGCTTCGTTATAAATTCAGGCTGGCGCAGGCTCCCATACTAAATATTGTATTTTGAAATGATCTTTGTGGCTTCTTTAACTATACATTTCTGCGAAGCCCTTTTTCGGCATCTTTAGACTGCTTACGCAGACAACAGTATAGAAAGTTCATTACATGCACTGGCACTCGAACTTAACAATGCATGAAGGATTAGGAGCAGAGAAAAAAACGATGATAGATAATTTAAGTGAAATTTGGAAATAATACTCCCGGACAAACGAAAACCTATAGCACATCATACGGTAATTGAAAATAGAAGTATTCAAGTGGAGAAAATAAGACAAGTTTTTAGGTTAATCCTGCTTAATCTGCCGCTGCACTAAACAAGTTCGTAATCTGCTTATCTTAAAGTTTCTCATAAGCGTATCCTTCTGTGTCTCAAACATTTGCTTTTGCGTACTACGCTTTTCGTAGGTTATTTAAAGGTCGAGCTAAGCTAACAACAAACATTTTTCAACTTTAAAGCCTAAAGCTTGATGCGTCATGTGGATTTATTTTTGTTTAATATTTTGTGGTTAAATACAAACGGACGCTGTAGCTCTTATGTTATTATAGGTGGAAGAGGTTATAACTGTTTAATATCTTCACAGGATGCTCTTTACTTGTAGGCAGGTGTTTATTTCTTAAAAATCTAAAATACTATCGAAGGCAGGACAGGTGTTCTTTGCTAGAAATGATGAACCAAAGTCAACGCGGAGTTTAACAGAAAAAATTGCAAACGTTTTTATGATAGACTAATACATATTTAAGAGCTAAACTGGCGTCTCTCTAGAGGAAAAGTCTATAGGTCACAATTATAGAGAAACGTGTGCATCGTACCGGAATAAAGAGCAAAATCCTCTTTAATGCAATTACAAGTTATTGATGAATTGCGCTTGGATTTTCCTCTTCTTTGATAAAATGCTTTCATTCCATAATGGATTTGAACTTTGACGTTAAAAGAAACAGTTTAGGTTTGCAAAAAAAAAAAAAAGAAAGTGTGCGCATGCGTTCGATCTAATTAATTGCTTGTATGATTTTCTAGCTCGTTCACCTTATTCCTGTTCAAAGGTTAAAAGTTCAAATACCAGCAAATTTACATAAGTCTCTTATTTTTAAAATTATTCACGTTAACAGAGCCCTTAAGTGGAACTGGAATGTAGACAATTGGCAACATTATGCATTTAAATGATAAATATAGATCAGAGATTCCCAAAAAGAGCCTTAACACCCGCACGTGCAAAAATATGCATCTACACCGTTACGCTACTATTCAAAATTCATGGCATCCTATACATAACGCGCGCTTTGTTGTAGACCACAACGGTTACGTGACAATGACGATCAAATAGAAACGCTCGCACATTCACTGGCTATCATTTGAAGGTAGCGCAGTTAACTATTTTGTATGCACAACTGCAAGTAAACACACACGCCGAGAAGAGCCACTAGAGAACTCTTTTAAAGGAAATAGTTTTGAAAATATCTAATGATGTGTTGCTGTGTGTGTGCGCTATATAATATGCAGTAAAAAGAATTGATTTTTTTAATACAATATTTCCTTAACAAATTAATTTGTCTTACTTCCGGCAAAAGCAAGCGCACGCATACACGCGCCGATGTATTTCTGCTATTGCACTAACACACCCCCACACAGATCTGTTTGAGATATCATATTATCGCACACATGTGTTCACACTACGTAAACTTCGCATACATGCTGCACAATAATGAGATCACTTTTTTGCTCTATTTAAAGCTTTTTTTTGATATTTCGGAAATTTCGTCGTTTATAAAAAAATCGAAGGCATTCCAATGTTGATCTCTAGACCTCTTTTGGAGGTTTGTGTCTCACGTAACTTTTACGAATAATAACCAATTAAATGCTTAAAGTGGCAAGGGTTCTTCTGAAATTTCGGATCCTTTTTGAAATTCTACTTTGAATAGAATAGGATGAGATATAGACTCGCTCCTATATATATGAATATAACAATCTCCATCAAATCAAGTTTCAGCGTCTTTCAGCAAGACGCAAGTAGCCATCGGTTACGCTTTCTCCTGGAATATATCAATTTAGTCTATGATAACGATTTCCAAGAATGTCACAATGCATTAAACATACGTCTCCTCCTTGATATTAGATTTGAAATATTAAAAACTTTATTTACTGACATCAACGTACAGATGTACAGACACTTTAGATGCGTATGTGCTTCAATTGATTTTTTGATTTTAGATGTATTGTAATTTAAAAATAATACAATAGCAGCGTATGTATGTTCACGCGATTTAAGTTCCCACCAAGCACATTGCGCCCAAACCAATACAACAACATTCACTCAATTCAAAGTTGCGTACCGCAAAGCCAAGAAAAGGCAAACCTCTTTACCAAAAATAGTTACCGCTAAACCGGTCTGATTTTGTTATGCTTGCTTCGTTTTTCTTGTTTCTTTGTTTTCGCTTCGTTATGGCGCAGGCTCTCATATTAAGTATTTGAAACGATCTTCGGGGCTTCTTTAACTACATTTCTGCGAAACCTTTTTTCGGCATCTTTAGACTCCTTACGTAAATGATAGTCTAATAAGTCTATTATATATATTGACGCTCATTGCGTTCAGTTTTAAGTAAGAAAGAAATCAACTATCCATGCGGGATTGAGAGCAGAGAAAAGAAACCCATTATACTTAATTTAGTCGAAGTTTGGAAATAACAACGATCTGCGACACATTATGCGATTTAATGAAGAACAGATCGAACCAAAAATTCCAATTCGAAATATTAGTTAAGTTTATTAGGATAATAGGTCCGGACCAAGGCAGCCAATTTGGAAACATTCGACCATCGCATGCGGTGTCGCTGTTTTCCGGTATTTGTTATTTGCCAAGCATTTTTTTTTTTCATTTCTTCCTTTTACACTTTTCATAGGTTATTCAAATGTCGAGGTAAGCTAACAATGAACATTTTTCAGCTTTAAGGCCTGCAACTTCAAGCGTCATGTGGATTTATTTCTGTTTAATATTTTATGGTTAAATACAAACGGATGCTGTAGATTTTGTGTTATTGTATGTGGACGAGATTATAACTGTTTAATATCTTTACAGGATACTCTTCACTTATAGGCAGATGTTTATTTCTTAAAAATCTAAAATACTATCGAAAGCAGGACAGGTGTTCTTTGCTAGAAATGATGAACCAAAATCAACTCAAAGTATATTTGGCAAGAAACGCGCGGAGCGGGGCATGGACGCGGAGAAGTGGCATGTATATAGCAATGAGTAAAGATAAATGCAAACTTACCTTTGGAATATAGCGATTATTGCTTCATTCTGGAAGGCGCGGAGCGGAGGCATGACTCGACTAAAAATTAAAAGAAAAATAATGAAAACAATTTCGATTTGAGAATATATCTTAATTTATCTATATTTACCTTAGAAGGACGTTATGTTGATATCCTTGCTCTATTTTCAACACCGGCCGGACTCTCGACACTTGGGCTGATGGCGATGGGCCGTCATGGTCGTCATCGACCATCAGCATGCACTTCTCGACACTTGGGGCTCTCTCAGCCCTTCGCGTATTAGTCGCGTCAGTCCTATCCGTTTTAACCATACTCAGACATGCTGATATCCCATTCATACAGTATTTAGCTTCACCCACCACGACCCGTTCCTCGAACCCACAGAATCCCTCCATCTCGCCGCGTATCATTTCCGTTAGTCTTCTGTTATGGTCAATCAGTTTTGTAATCGCCTCTGCGGCCCGCATATAGCCTAGTTCTTGCGCATACCTGTGGTAATAATGCGTACGAAAAGAGGACTCTTTTTCAATTCGTTGCAGACACTGCCTAACGTCTCGTAAAGTCCCTTTCACCTTTTCAGCGGACACTGCCGGGTTCAGTTGCTTCAGGTGCTTACTCTTCCCGCCAGTTCTTTGTACTGGCCTTTAATCGAGAGATAATTTACTTATGTATTCTGTTGTGATTTTAGAAAATTGCAAATAGTGCACATATAAATAATTTTATCAAGACATTTAACTTCCGTCTAAATTGTTGTTTAGTTTATCAGATACATACCTTAAATAAAAGTTGCAATTATTACAAGCAAATTCTTCATAGACGCGAAATAAAAAACGCGGCCAATTTCGCAGACGCCAAATAAATAATGATTTCGTCGTCACGTCGCCAATGAACTCTTCACCAAGACACTTTTCCATCTATACACTTTACAAATATACTTCCATTTTTCCATTGCTCCTTTATTTCTCATTTAAAATATTGCCTTCGTCGTCTTGAAAACTTCGCGGTCTTTGCTTTCTTGCTATTTTCTTATAGTCAGCTGTTTGATTTTTTATAAAACATATGTTAAACGTTCCCCAACTTTCATAAACAAATAATGCTAATGCGGAAATTGAGAGTAGTTTGTTTAATTCAAAACATTGGTTCGAAAGAAAATTTCATTGCTACGGGTAAAGAATTATCATTTATTAGAAAATAGGGTAAAGAATTTAAGATGTGAAGGAAGTAGAAGTCTATTCACAAAGACGAATTTATTAACTATCCAAAGATTGTACTGTTTTGCACAAACGTAGTCTTTGAGCTGACAACACGCAAGTCAGCTGTTCTTTCTAGTATCGTAATAATAATATAGTTTATAATAGTGATATAATAACTCAAACAATTGGTAAAATAAAAACAATTGGACACATCATAGATATTTACCGCAAATCATTGCCAAAAAGCACTGAAAACATGTTCTTATAAACCAAAGGAATTAAGGTTCAATGTCGTACTTCCTTTTTGGCTAATTACCTGAATAATCTGAATTTAAATGAGAACATTTGTTAGGATTTAAAGTAAAGCAAAAGTGTAAAAAATATGTCGTATTAGTTTAAAAAAAAAAAGTTCATAATAAAAAAGATTTTTAAATATATTGTTTGCAGACAATATGAAAAATGTACATGGAAAAAAGTGCGTTGCAAGCGATTGCATTGGACGCAAGAAAGGTGAAGAAATTCGATTCTTTACTTTTCCAAAGGATGCCAATCTTCGAAAAAAGTGGTGCGAAAATTTAGGAATTAGTGAGAAATCCGTAAGAAGTAATTTTAGGGTGTGTAGTCGGCACTTCGAGCTCCATCTCGTAGGATCAAAGAAATTGAACAAATATGCAATCCCAACGGTGGGTCTAGGTAAAATAGGAGTAAGCAATCAACGGATTCTTGACATTTCATTTAATTTTATTTACTTGCATTTGCACAGGTTCAACGGGACGTGTGGTTCACAGAAGCACCGATCCAATTTGGTCTGGGAGGATGTGCGCTGCGAAAGGATGCGCAGTAAATAGAAGACATGAGTTGACTAAACATTATAAATTATTTCAAGTCCCTCGAGATGACACTGGGAAATGGTGGGCAGAAGTCTTAGGTTTTGAGTTGACAAGGAAGGTTATGTTCGTATGCGAAAGACATTTTGCCAAACACGACGTGGGAAAATTAAGGCTGTATAAAGGGGCTATCCCAAAAAGCGATACGCCTCAGACTGTGATCGTAAAAGAAGACGTAAGCGATACAGGTTCTGAGACAAAAAGCGCTTTTGAATTTGATAACGTTAGCAACGAGAACCTAAATAAAAGTAACTTGGATATGATAATGGATGAAAGTACAGAAACTGCTTTGACTGTGCTCCCAGTAGAGAGAACTTATGAACGCAGGGAACTAGCGGAATATATTATCCCAGAACAACTTGAAGAATTCGGCGGCCTTAAAAGAAGGGGGCTATGTTTCGGGCCAGCCCAATGCAGTGTTGAATGCCGTAGAGCCTTTGAAGAAAAAGAAAAAATGAGTAGAGCCAGAGAATTTAAACTTTTTGAAGAAAATCAAGAATTGAAGGAAAGAATTAAAATATTAGAAGAACAATTACAGAAATATCAATATAGTGGTACTAGTACAGATTTTTCCATGGACTTATTTTCTTAAGCATACTTTATTTTACATTTTTTTTTTTGCTGAATAATACTTGTACAAATATATATCCATTTAGAAGCAAAAAGTCTCCTTTCCAATTGAAGTTTTGCGTTTTGTTCGCATCTGCCAACTCCTTTTGAACCTCTCTTACAATTCAGTAGTCTTATGTCATCCTATTAATGTGAACATCATTTCATCTACTGTGCATGTAGTAGTCAATAGCTGTAGAGAATGCGGCAAAACCTAAAGCGCCGACAATTCCAGCTTTCACTCCAGCTCTCAAACCAATTAAACCACCAGTAACGCCGCCAGCATAAGTGCCATTACGCCAATCCGTAACTCCTCGTTGCTTTGGGTAAGCAAATATCGTGACAAAGAAACAAATATCGAGGAATAAAAACAATATGCACAAACTTACGCTTTCTATAGTACATTCGACGGCCGAAAAAACGCAGCCAATTAAAGCAAAATTTTTTGCATAAGAATGGGTTGTAGAGCGCATTTCTCTGAATATTTCGCGCGCGGTTTGTTTGCGTTCGTTAGCCATAGGATCGGACATATTCGGACTAACGGAGGACGTAAACAAACCAATAGCAGCGCCCAAACCGTAACCTGTAGCCAGCTTAGAAATTGTTAAGAAGTAAAAATTTGACAGAACTTAAACCTCTTACCCATTACGCAGGCTGTAAGAGATTTAAAGGTGCAGCTTTCGACAGTACTTTCAATCATTTTCTCTTCTTTTGTTTTAATTTGCACTGGGCCGTTTCCCTTAGGTATTATAATATTTTCACGATATCTATACAGTCATATCGGTATAAATTTTTCTATTTATTAACTGCTACTTAGGAGATTCTAAAAACTTGCATCACTAACCTGTACAAATTGCCTATAAAGTGCTTGGCTATGTCATCAAGTTCAGCATTTTGAAAAAATTGGGTTTTCGTTTCCTTAATATCTTTTGGCGGTGGTGGTAATAAAGACATTTTGTAGTTTCTTTTAATTTAGTTCAAATATACATTCGTAAAAAGAATTAATACCGAACAATTTTTTCCTTTGCTGTTTATTCTTGAATAACCAACAGCTGAAAGGTACTGCCAGGCTTGCATTATAAACCATGTCACTCACTGTAGGTAAAGAAAATATGTTTGTAACAGAGCTCAAAGTTCGATGATTTTCAACCTACCTGATGTAGCTCCATGCGATTTTAAATTCTTTTTCGAAGAACAGTTATACAATAGCTACTTTTTAAGATTCCTACTTCAAATAAATCAACAATCCCTGCAGTTTTAAGCTCATAATAGAAAATCATTTATTCACCATACAGTATTCATGGCCCGTAAAGACAAGTATTTTAACTTTTCGCATGCCGCGAAGATTTGGAAAATTATGTCTCTAATTATTTTACGACACTATCAAAAATCGCCATTCGCTTATATTATTTCCTAATTTTATTAAGGATTGTTGTTTTAATCAGCCATTCAAAGACGAAATAATATAAACGAATGGTATAAAAATCGAGATTTAGTTTTAGTTGTGGACTTTCCTTACTGTACCTAACAAAACGAAATGACTTATTCTCCTTTTTAGTTCCGAGTATCTAAATCAAATTATTGCAAAAGTAAAATATTTAATAAAAACATATATTTTCTATTTCTTTAGGCCAGTGCTATAAATTAAATTGGATATCAAATATATATATATATATATTTACAAAATTTTATTTCGTCTTGTCGGTATTTTACGTGTACCCTCATACCCGCAAACAACCTACGCTCTTCTGCCACGAAAACACTAGTACTTGTTTGGCTATGCATTCGTTCTGGACAGGTAATAACTGACCTTTTTTCATCGAAGAAGCCGTTAATTAAATGCATACAATAACAAAAGGACCACGCAAAGTCCAATAACTGCTCCCACAATTAAAGCATCACGTTTCTTTTTAATATTAATCCGTTGAATTAAACTAGAAATAAGTTTAACATAATTTATAAAAAATATTTATTGAAAATTGCATAGGAAACAGTTATTTACCTGGATATTAACGGAAATCTATTAGATATATCATTGAAACGAGTCTGAAGACGTTTGAAGGCATGCCGTTGTGAAAGTAAATTTTCTCGGGTTTCAATAGCTATATTTATCTGATCGTTAATCAGCGCGTTCGAACTACAAAGAAGTAATGTCTCCTCATAATTGAGAATTAAATTCATGTGCTATTTAATGAACCTATTTAAATGATTGCTCTCTTTCATATACATATCTCGGCGATTTAATCCCGAAATTTTGGATATATTCTCCGGACCACGAAATAATTCCTCGCGCTCTATTCGTGCGGTGTGATTAACGCTAATTTTATTAAACTCTTGCCTGTAGCTTAACAAAATTTCACGATGACGCTGAAGAATATGCATGCCTGCTGTGCTTGTACCTGCTGACGAAGATTCAGCCATAGCTTCATTAATAGATGCTAGCTGTAAAATCAATCTAATAATTACTTTCCTCGCATTTGTTGAAATCCAACATATCTACCTTGTCCAGCTTTTGTTCTATTTCTGTCGACAAGGAATCGAACATCGATTCTCCCAATAATGGAGATGTATCGGTACTTGAACTATGACCGATCGGAGAACTGCCATTTGCTCCAATTTTTCCAAAAGCCACCAATTTCATGTCAATTTCATTTTCCAGCTGACGCGCCTGTTTGCGTAGTACTTTAATAAACAAATATTTTTACTAAGCATCATTAAATTCACTTTAGATTTCATATTTTTAATTTACCGTCATGATTTTTCGCCATATTTACTAAATATTTTTACAATAAAATCGTTTTATTTTATTTATGAAAAATTATTGACTGCTTTGTTGTCTTGAAGAGATTTCGTTCTTCAATGTGTACTAAAGCTGTTAGCTGCTATCTATAGCAATTTATTCATTTAACTTGGCAGCACTTAAATAATGATAATTTAAAATTTAACTTAACACATAGTTTTGAAAAACTAGTTGGATGGTCACAAAACGATTCTACTTTTCAAAAAATCGGTTATTCGTCGAGAGATGATAGTTTTTGCCTTAAGGTACAATTAAAAGGAAATCTTGAAATTAAGTAGGTTTTCCTCTCTCGCTCGCAGAAACTCTCTCAGTATATGTTTTGATAGGCCTTCGCAAACATCGCGAATCGAAATTTTTCGATTCATTTAACAATTTTTCATTTTGTCAAACTTCTTTGTGGACTTGTAGTAGCTTTGATTTCTCGCTAAAAACCGTTAGCTAATTTTTTCCTTTACATGGTTTAAAAAAAAAACTACCATGTGCTGAGAATAGAGAGCACCGAGTTGTTTTCAATAAATTACAACGCTTAGAATGAAAATTTCGAAAACCTTGTGTTCGATTCCATTAGTGTGAGAAATTTTTGTTCGATACGGTTGGTGAGGACAATTCATTTATAATTTAATATGTATTTCGGAAAATAAAAAAATCATATAATAATATATTTAAAATTTAATGTACATGTACATAATTTAAACTGCTAATTTATATATTTTGTAGTCGTTCAGTTTTGAAACATAATTTTTATATTGTAATGACTTAAAATTAGGGTAAAATAGAGTTTACACTTCAAAAAATAAAAACTAAAAATATTTTTGCATTCAGCTTTCATTTTATCTGCATGTGTATGTATACTTAAATGTAATTCACTATATTAAGTTACATTTTAAACGTACATTTGTGGATAATTCGAGTTTATTAGAAAAAAAAATCAAAATTAAGTTAGCATTTTTTTTTAATTTTTAATTTTAGATTTTTAAGAATCTAATCTTAAGACCATAACTACAAAAAAAATCTAAATAAACTTAATAAATAATTTAAAGAAAAAATTAAAAATCTTATCTATAACTATTACACATTATAGAATTATTATAAAAGTTATAGTGCTTAAGTAACCTTTTTAATCAATTATTAACGCCTAGTTAGGATGCAAGTCTAGCTAGGATATACATTTGTTTCACTTTCATTGCTGTCTATTATTGACAATCTGGATACCATAGTCTGTATTCTTGGCGACAACATAGCTCGTTATGTGGCTGATGGCCTCATCTTGCAGACGTTCTGGCCAACGTTTAATGTACGATTTAATGAAATCACAAAATGCGTCCACTTTATCGGTGTCGGCTTTATGTGTGTCCACAATATTTTTGACAATTTCAACAAATTTATCATAATCGTCAGGGCATTTCTTGATCTTATTATAAATGAGGACACCACCGTTTGAGGTGTTGTTTGAGGAAGTGCCAGCAGCAACATTCATTTGATCCATTTGACTACTCTCATTTAAACGAGCAGAGGCGGCGGCCACAGCGGCTGCCGCTGTAGACGTCATAAAATTCACATCGGCTCCAGCGCCATTTGCATTATTTCCCGCACCGCCCGAACCGGCATTAGGTGGTGTCTGATTGTGTTCTAAAAAATGACGATGCATCCCGTATTCCGATCTAAATTTATGCAAATAATAGAAATCATACAAATCATGTTATGTTTACGAAACTCTTTGACCCGCACCACATGAAATCTGCAATCTATATAAAATGTGATAAAGAATAACTTTTGCATATGAAAACTTTCATTTTCGTCGTAGCAAGATATTATATACGAATCTTTACAATGTAATAGGACCGTTAACGCTTCCATAGCCGCAATAAAAAGCAGCAAATTTATCTTTTCTTTTCTATTCTTATGCAAACTCGACATAAGTTTTTCGGAGAGTCAGATCTATTTACCGCTCTACCTTAATTTTGACGAAAAACAACAAACAGATAACACGAAGGAAACCATTTTGAATAGTTGAAAATTCGATTTCATATGAAGTCGCAGTCACATTAGATAGAAGTAAAGAGAAGCAGGACTTATAGCCTTAATTTGTCAAAATCAGTCATGATCAGTTACCTAAGGAAAAACATGTAATTATTGCTGAAGCCAGATTTACAGATATCATGAAGTGCTGGTTCGTTGGTGTTGGTTATAGAGCACCTTAAGAAAAGAACATATACATAATAATAATGGTTTTAAAAGCATAAGACCTACTTATAAAATCCTTCGGAATTATTGCTATTAAATTCTTGTTGAGACATTTGACTTTTCCAAACTGGTGACTCGGATGAAGACGGCAAATTAGATGCATTAGATGCTGGTGTCATAAGGCGTTTATCTCTAATAGCAAACATTTCAAATAAATAGAAAATTTATTAAAAGTTGAAAGAGGAAGAAAAGAGATCCTACTTATAGCCTGCTTGCCCCAAGCTTTTGAAAACGTCATCCACCTGATTATAAAATTTCCACGTGCTTATTATGCCTGTAGTCTCGAAGGTTTTCTGCTCTTGTCTGTAGCGTTGCGTTAAATTATTAACTTTAAAATGAACTTCTAGTGCAGTTACTGGTACTCCAAGGCCTAAAGCGTATAAGCATACATTTTTTAAGCATTTTATAAACACATTTGCATATTTCATATTTAGCACATTTACCAGTTAATTGTTTTGCCATCGCCACATAGAGATGGCCATTACGTTTGATAGTGCGCAATTCATAGGCGCAAGTTTTCCATAATTTAATTAATTCTAGAACACCGTTATCCTCCCATTGTCGACGCTTTTTATTGAATTTTTCATACTAAAAAAAAAATTGAAAAGCATTGCATTAAAAATGATTATCTTCTTTCGGATTTGCAAATAACTCACAGGCATTTCACATGGGTCTCATGTAGTGCAAATCACTTCTTTGCAGAATTATTCCTTCTACGCTTTCTCTCAAATTATTTTCTTTTAAAAATAAATTTCTAATTTTAACATTTTGCTAAAATTTAAACAAATGAAGAACGAATTAATGTTAATCTCTTCAACAAGACATGTATTCCATTTGAAAATGGAAGAAACGATGACTTAGCCAATAGGCATTCATTCAAATCGTTATAAAAAATGCAATCAACAAAACTGAGTTTTTTTTTTTGATGCCTCTGTTGATGTTTTTGTTTTCTTGTGTTTTTTTCCTGCTTTTTTGCGGTTTTCATTTCAAATAAGAATTTCAGCGACCAAAACAAAACAGAAAAAACTGCGTAATTATCATTACTTTTAATTTCTTTATGTCAAATAAATTAAATTAATGATTATCGAATAAAGATAATGAAGTTTTTTTTCAATCAACGAAATGAAAGAAACAACAAGTTGACGGCGGAAGAGAGAAGAGAACGAAGAGCGCACACAACCAAAATATACTTCAAAAAGAAAATTTCTTAAACCACATGTACCATTACGCTTATTCGTATTGATTCTTTAATTTGTGAAAACACCAAAGTACAACAAACTATAAATATTTAATTAATTTAAATACATATATATAAAGAAAAAAAAGAAAAAGTGTTTATATGTAATATTTACTTCACTTCGTACTCTCTCTATTTTTAAGCAGATGAACACTCAAGCAAGCACTCGATATTTAAATGCAATAGAACTATAGTTTATTCACTCGTACTCATTTAATATTGGCGTTTAGATACACTCATACAGAAATAACAACACGACGAACCCAGACCATTTTCGAGACAATAATTATAGCGATAATTATAGATTTTCACAATGATCATTAAAATTTTAATGACAATATTTTTTTCATTTGTTTGCACAAACCGGCGCATTTAACGAACACAAGAACACAGCAGGCATAAAACCAAAACATTGGTAGCATTAGCGTTTGTTTAATTAATATTTGAAATGAAAACTTCTGATTAATTCAAAATCGCATCAAATCTTCAAATTTGTATGTATACGATGAAGAGGAAAAACTATATACAAGTGCATGCACACATGTAGCAGAAAAGAAGACGAACACTGAAAGAAAACACATTTTATACACACTGACTTGGCCTGGCATAGAATTACGCTTCTTTTTTTTTTTTCCTTTTTTTGCGCTGGGTGCTGAATTGAACTTTATACGCAAAGCAAAAGAAAGAGATGATGTTACTCTTCTTCTTTGTAGGTGCGTGTGTTAGTTAATTTATTGCTAAAAAAAAGATTTTCTTTTTTTGTTTTAAAGATGCTCGTCGCTCGTCTTTACTTTCCAATCAGATTGCATTCCATTGCTTTTTTATATTTTCTTACGTATATGCAAGTGTGCCTTTGTACAAGTTTGTACATATAAAACTTTATGTTAATCTCTTTTCGATAATCTTCATTTATTTGCAACAATCACACTAACTCACTTAATTATGATGTCCGCCACTGATAACAACATAATCTTCTCGCCAGTGCATTCACAATTATTAAATTGTCTACATTTAAATGAAAATCGTGTATACACACTCTCTCTAATGATGTAATTAAAATTAATACAAACAAATGTCTTAGTTCTTCTATTTCAAACGAAACAACGCGAGCGAATTTCACATCAAACATTGAAGTTCAACATCAGACTAAAATTTTTTGTTCGTCCATCGCGAACTTTCGCTTCTTTAACTTTAACAAGAGTTTATTAATCTGTCTGTTGCCCTGCACTAACAAAACCCTATGAAGAATGAAATATACCAGACATGATTATTCTAGGGACTTTGACGAAAAATGAAATGTAATAGATAGGAAGAAGAAGATTGGTTCTCCATGTTGGCCAGCTTCAGTGGTCAAGGCTGCGGCTAAGTATTGGCTTGACTTTGCCTTTAAAGGCTTTTGAAAATTTAAAAGTTGGTCTAACTATTCCTAGAAAGCCTTTATTGATATATCCATATACGTATAAATATACAAATTTATATATATTTAATTTTGTGTATAATATACGCGACAATGCTGGGTATTAAAAATTCGCCTTATGCCGTAAACAACTTTATTTATATCTCTCATACATCGTACTCTTTTTCTCCGCTTCTAATAAGTTTCCTAGCACAATTATTATTTAGTGGGTGCTCTTGCTTACAATGAATACGATTCCATGACCTATGCAAGTAGAATTTCAGATAAACTCGATCAACACACTAATATTTCTTTAATAAAATACAAATTATTAAAGTCTTTTTTTCATATCTTTTTAACAATTAGGTTTTCCCATAGCATTTAATATATATGAACAGCAACAGGAAGACCGATTTAATGCTTTGAACTTAAAGTTTGATGCAAAATATCTGCGCTGGTTTTGGTTCGGTATGAACAAATTTTTTTTCGTTGTCTGGCATCTCTGCAACTCATCATCATTAAAATTTTCTGATGAGAATAAAGGGAAATTACCAGTCATTAGTACATTGAAGATAATGTCGGAATAAAAAAAAAATTTTAAATTTCATTCACTGGCTTAGAAAATCTTTTCATCCAATCGATTTAGGTAATTTACACAACACTCCTCCACTCCTTATACGGAATGCTTCTCTCTTTATTTTGTCAAATGTATCAAAAGTGGTACAAAAAGTATTTTATAATTTAGAAAGCAAAAATGCTAGTAAAAAAGTTGAAAAAGGCGATAATTAAGATTTAACAATTCTTTCATATTCATCACCGAGGAGTATATTCGTTTTGTCGGACCGTTTGCAACACCAAGAAGCCGTTTGCAACACCAAGAGACCCCACAAAGTATTTACATGACCATTTTGAGCTATGAATTCCAAATCTATTTAATTATGTCCGTCCGTCCGCCCGTCTATGTAACGCCTGTTGTAAATAAGCGGAAACGAAGCTCTCAACTTCAAATTTGGTAGAAACATTGGAAGTTCTTGCACGCAGGTTGGCATTGAAAATGGCCAAAATCGATCGAAGGACACGTCCACAGCACCAACTAAACTGAGAACACGTCTGTATTTCAAAAGTAATAAAAATTGATTTTTGCTTATTAGTTATAAGCTACAGCCAACAAATGTACAACAATTTGAATGCATGAGCGATGCTTAGCACCTGTACAAAAATAGAAAACGTTTGTTCGTCTGTTTATCTGTCCGTCTGCCCACCTATGTAGTATCTGTGGTAAACATTTTCCCGTTGCCTACAAATTTGCAAAACAATTTGGAAGTGACCTAGACTTTTCAAAGGGCACGCCCATACGAGAAAAACTTTTTCTTTGAAAATAAAAAAATTCAGGCGCGTCCACTTCATATTATAGAGCAGGAAAATCTAGGTCCTCTACTGCTTTTGTCGTTTTTCGAATAACGGTGACGGATATAAAAGATTCCGTCCAGACCGATTATAATTTTCTTTCCCGTTTTTTTTTGGTTTTGCTAAGAGCTTGCTTCGTATAATATAAACGGCGATCCATTCAGATATTTCTGGGTTTCCATTTCGCGTTTAGAAAAGAACTAAAAGCATTATTGTGCTGCTTTCTCCTCTGACGAAGGTATGCTGAGAAAAGGTTTCATGCAGCTGAAGATAATTAATAATGGCGTTTTAAGAAGAAGTTTGCAAAATCTCTCTAGACATTTGACATAAGAGGCATCCCTTCCCGGCATCAGAGATTATTTTGAAGTCCATCAGCGATGAAACCCACGGTTTTATTTTATTTTCTTATTTTCATTAAAGGCATAGCCCATTACTGACGATATATGTTAAACTTCCACGTTCCAAAGAACACACAATCACTTACAGTCAATAAAAACTAAAGTTTATGCGAGTTCTGTAAAAGCATTCTGTAGTTCAATCGTGAACCCGTCGGCGTATGGCTACATATTTCAGTTAATCCTGAAGAATTTCTCCAACTTCTACTTTAGTTGCTTAAATATTCAATTGAAAACGTTTAGGCTCAAGGAAGTTTGAGAAAGCTTGAGGAACCAATTTGCTTGACAAGTACATACTTTCACGGCCGTTTTTGAATATTTCCTTTAATTCAAAATGGGTGGACAAGATTTACCAATATTTGATATGTTTACAAAGTTATTGGAGCAATATTGATATCTTGGGTCTTTAAGGAAATAAAAAATACATGTGCAAACCTAGACGACTTATTCGAATTATTATTATTATGATTGTTTTAGATAATGGCGATGGTTTCGGCGAACTCAAGAAAAGTTTTTTGCAAAATTCTTAGACGAAGGCGCTCTATCAGTTCGATACTGATTTACAGCGCTGAAGGTGCCAATAGACGATGATAAATGCTAGGCAGCTATACACGGATTACGATCTATCCAACACCCCAATATTTTGAAGTGATAAAATTTGTTTTTAAAAGAAAGTACTCTGATCTTTATACACCGTCTGGAAAGCATTTTCTTTAGAGTTGAACAAAAAAGCATAAAGAGAAGAATAGTAAACTCAAAATTACATATCATGATGACATTATCTTCTTGGAATGAAATTACCGCTCGAACCGTGACTAGTACGGACTGATTGAGTGACTGACTGACATTCACGTACTATCGTTACTTTAATGTTGTGTTTTTTTTCTAGGTTTTGTAACATTGCTGAAGCAATTTATCTCTCACTTTGCGCCGCACGACTCCCCATTCATTCATTCATACTCACTTAATATTAGGCGAAAGCAGCAACAAGGAGTTAAGGATGAAATTAGGCGACAAAAATGTGTTTATACAAGGTAAAGTTTTATCTCGCTTGTAAGTCGTTACACGCACATACGTACACACATATATATATATATATATATATATATACAATTTATATATATATGCGGCTGTGCTTAAAAAACATTATATGCAACAAATAGCATTAAAAAATGTTTAAAAAAGCTTTGCGCACACGTTGCTTGCTGGAGAGAGGACAGCAATGAAGAAGGAGATTGCACACAAATATCACATGCCGGTCATCATCATCATTATGTTGACTGGTTTGATTTTGTGTTGGTTGCCGCTACTCGTCGTCACAAATCTATGTATGATGGGATGTTTGAAAAGAAAAATGTGGAAATGGTCATTAGAGCAACGAAACTGCGTCACAAAATACAAACAAAAAAAAAAAAATGATAATGTTCATGGTAATCATCATTAAATAAAAAGAGCGGGAATTGCTAAGTCATTTAGACAAAATAGGTAGTGGTAGTAGTCAGCTCGTAATAGCATTAGCAGCAGCAGTAGTAACGTTGCAATGACAACAATGGATGGATGCTGGTCTTGTGTCTATGTGGTTAATGACATTGAATGTTCATCGCTGAATTCCGACTGTTGTTGTATAGCAGCTATTGCTACTGATGGCATTGCTTGTTGATATTAGCATATCAGGCAATTATTTAGAAAATTTTAATTTTTTTTTGTTTATAATAAATGATAAAATAATTTATTTATTTCATTTCACGTTAAAAATTTTCTTATTAAACGTAACATAAATTCGCGCGCAATAAACAATCACGCTATGTCCGTACGTAGTTGTTCGTCGTTAGATGGCACTTAAGGTGAAAGGTGATCCCGATATGTGTTCGTCACCCCATTTGGCAGCTAATATATACTGTCCCGGATCCTGTATTTGATAGGTCACTTTATAAATATTCCTACCCTCGTGTTTTATAACCACCTCATCGCATTGACCGTTCGGGCCGCAAATGCCCACAAATAATATGTTGTTACCCGCCCGCGAGCCATCGACAGTGAATTCATTTTTCTTATTTAAACCTATGCGTAGATGCGCACTCAAGCCATACTGTACTACTTTCGACGCATCCGATCTAAAAACTGGTACTGGATGGACATGCAAACGCAAAAAAGAAAAGAAAAAATTATTACATAGAACACAAAAACTGTTCAATTAAAAATAATAATAATGATAAAAATTGTTTATATTAATTGCGCTTACATTGCGGTTTTTTATTAAATTCCGTCTCCATTTCACTGCCTGTTATCGATACTAAGATGTAGGGTGACTTTGGCAATAATACTGAATTGCACTTGATGTGCACTTTATAAAGACCGGCTTCAGTTATCAATAATTTTACTTCAAATCTTTCGGGATCGTTGATCTTTAAAGGTACATATATTATCCGGCCGGATGGACTTTCCAACTGCATTAAAAAAAGTTGTCCACTCTATTACAACAATCTTTGTATTCGCATTTGGCTTCGACTTTACCTTGACTTCAAAGTTCCCTTTAACGCCGTTCCTCTTTATAATGAATGTAATCTCGGTGTTAATGCGCACAGCGCCGTTGGGAAAATGCAATAACTGCACACGACTGGTGTCCGTTAATTCCGGGGCCACAAATACTTGATGCGCTGAGGTGCAATATTTGTCTGACAAATAAATGGGGAAAAAAAAATTTCGATATTATTACTAAACATGATTCGTTGGAAGGGCTTCCTACACGCTTTACACGACCAGTATTTCCTGTAAACAAAAAACTCATACTTTGAATTTGCAAACCCGCCGACGCATAGTCGGGACTATCAAATCGGTGTTCAATCCCAGTGTGGTTTGGCCACATTGCTTGGCCAGTAAAGGCGTAGCACGCATCCCCACTCTTTCTTATATCTCCTCGTTCTGGCCTTCATAGTGTTTGTTGCACATATAGCAGATATCCATTGAGCTATTGGTCCTATTAAAAAAAATTTGCGTTTGTGTGTTTGTGTATGTGTGCCCAAATTATATAAAAATATAACTTCAATAAAATTGCATATATAATTGCATATATAGAAATGAAATGAAAATTTGGTCCAATTCGTGCATAAGTTTTTTTCTTTATTGTTTTTTTTTTGTCTTAAATTTAAAAATCTAAACATTCATCATTCATTGTTTGTTAATTGTATGTTTGTGTATGCGCGTATGCGCTTGATAGGTACAATATCTTGGTGTTACCAAATAGTAGGGAGGAGGAGAAGGAGTGTGGTAAATGTAATCGTTAGACATCTGCGCACACACATGTGTGTGTACACGCGGTCACACATTTGTTGAAGAGCATTTCATATAAGAATACTCCTGCTGAAAGTCCATCGCATACTGATATGTCTGACGTTGAAATTAAAGAAGCTGAGCATAAGATTTTCATTTACGGTAATGAACCTACGAAACCTGATATCGACGTTTTGAATGCCATTCTTCGTATCGATGTCGATAAATCGAAGTACCCAAATGTTCATTCCTGGAAAACCGCTTTGATGCGTTATCCTAATGACGAAATGGATTTCTTTGCGTCACCTCGTATTGTGAAGAAGTCTCATTCGTTTATGAATCAAACGTCGTATAAAAATGAGAATATATTGGAGACACCGCCATCGCGTCAACGTAATCAATACTCCCTTGATAATACGAATTGTGCCAGAGACAAGAGCAGCAACGATGAGTCTGGCACTACTAACCTCTCCCGAATGAATTGGTCGGACATGAATGCTTGTCAATGAGCCGGAAAACTATTATTTATGTTTATTATGTTTTTGTTTTCAGATGAATTGCCTTTTATTTTATTGTTCGGTTTCTTCTCTTATATAATCATTTCTTTTAAAACTTTTTTGATGTCTAGGTTATGTTTGATTTTTTTCTTTATTTCAATTGAGTAACACGCTGAAGTTGGTTGTGTACACCCCAACAGCGACAGCGTGAAGACTGAAACTCTTTCAATTATCTGAATTTTCATAATAAAATTTTTTGTAAACATTAAAAAAAAAAAAAAAAATACAGTCAATACAGCGTAGTAAGTAATTTGTTTAATGTCAAAAATGTTAACAAAAAGTTATTTGTGAGCGAACTGAAACGGAGCTCGTAAACATTCGTAACTGAACTGATGGAGAACTTTACCTACTTTATCTACTTTCTTCATTTCCTCAATGCCTTGAATCAAATCATATCTAGTCTAGTTCGGATCTTTTGGAGCTCTCTTCTAAACCATAAAACATATTTAAGCTGACGCTGTCCATCCGTCATTTGGGACAATTGTTTATCAACTGTGGGTGTGTCAGCATATCCGTTAGGGGGCTAGGGGCTAGGCTATGGGCGAACGAAACGTCTTTACATTTCAATATATGCCACAGATTGCATTATTATGTGATTTGCATTTTGAGCGAGCACGATTTGGTCCAAATTTCAGTTTTCTACTGCACTTTTTGCGCGCTTTAACGTTCAAGTCTATACATGATTGGATAGACCAATATTGGTAGCTCTACTTATCTTTTCAATCCGATCGTTTTCAGAATTCAGATCGTTCTACGAGTTTATGCGGAGCTAAAAAAATGTTTTCCTCATGAAAATACAAACTACGTCATCATGTCTCCCATGCATGCAATAAATATAAATAAATTGAATAATAATAGTTTACCATCAGCGTCTGGTGTTTTTTGATATTTTCCAAAAATACAAAAATCTTCTCCGTTACTATTGTTTGTGTAACGTCCCGCAGCGGCGGCTTCACTCGTATTCAAACGTATTTCTTGCGATGATTTAAACATTATTTAACTAAAACTTTATATTAAATGTTTTTATTTTTAGTTGTAAATATTCGAATTATGTGTGAACGTGTATGCATGTGTATATAATAAATATATATAAGTCTTTACATTAAAGAATAATAATTCACAAGACACTTCCGTTATCCGAAAAAGGTTTCCGTTCAAGATTTTTCGACAAACTAAATTCAATAATTTGAAAAACTCTTTTTCTCTAGAGGCGTATGCCACTCAAGCGTCCATACAAATAATATTGAAATGTTTGCTGTTGTGTTTATCTCTCATTTAATATATATAATGCCGTGGCATTCAAATATAAATTTTATATACACACATATATATAATTAAAGGGTGCACATTTCAAAGCGCGTGGATATATTGGCGTAAATGAGAGAAAAAATTGTTATGATTTCTATTCGAAATGAGCTTTCATTCCCATCACGGCGCTAATGAGAATATAATAATCATTTTATCCAGTTCGATTTTTACCATACCTAGGATTTTTATATTAAAAATACAGGTCAACATTTTTCATCTCTTTGCCTTTCGGACAATCGATTCATTGATGAGAGTACATTACTTACCCAATTATTCTGACGACGGATCTTAGCAACAAGTTTAAAAAATAAATTAGAGTAAATATTACTGGACTTGGTCCAAGGAGGAAAGAAATAAGCCATGACTGACCTGTTTTCATGGAAGGCCCCCCTTCAATTCAAGCAAGATTCCAAGGAAATTGATTTTTTTGCTTATCCCAATTTAACTCTTCCGATAGAATTACTTAAGCCGGTCTTAAAGCTTCGACCTTAAATAACAAAAACCGGAAGATTATTTAACTGCAAAAACCATAAGTCGTACTTTTGTTATCAATCTTAATAAAGTGCAAAGCATGCACTCTTTCTAGGCAGCTTTTTTTCTTTTTCTTCTTTCACTTTTTCTCAGTGTATCAATCGTCTTCCATCTTGCAAGAGATTTCCGAGTGTATACTTATTATTACTCATACACGTTATGTCCACATATTCATATGCAGTCCAATGGCAATCAGCCAAACATCTTTATGTTTATTTTTGGCGAGATATGTGAAAACAAAACATCTGCTTATGCTCTTAATGCGGGTGATTTATACAGAATGATTACTTATTTCATTTAATCAAATGCAAGTGCATCGTACATGGCTTTATAAGTAAAATTTAAAGATCGAGCAAAAGAAAACTCATAAGAGTGCATTGGCCTTTTTACAAAACCACAAGGAGTATGATGCATGTGTAATATTGCACATGCTACACAATTTACAATTAAAAAAAAAAAAAAAAAAAAACCGATCGACCGACCGACCGACAGCCGACATGTATGAGAAGATGCTAATTTAGTTATGATGCATTTTTTCTTATTAAGTGTCAATGACAGACGGTACAACTGTATATATGAAGTAACACTCTTTAGCGGGTAGATAAACAAAAAAGCAAATTTATTTTTTCATTCATTTTTATTACTCATTAATTTATCTCATTATTTATCTTATGGTCTCTAAGTAAAATGCACATTACATACATATACAGAGAATATGTTTTGATGCTTTTTTTTTTTTTTAAATACAATTCAATTGTTAAGAAAGTTTTCATTTATATAAAAATCTTCTTTAACTTCGTTTCTTTTATATGATTACACAATACAAAATGAATGTCTAAAGTATTTTAGATTTTGGGAAGAAAACAAAAAGAAAAACAAAACACATAGGAGATAGGCCCAAGAAGAATACTTTTTTCATAATATCAATGCATTTGGAGCGTTCGCTAGCAAACGGACGCTATTTAAAATATGTACTTGCAGGGCCTCCCTGTGATCAGTTTAGAGAGTGTTTAAGCGATTAACATGTAAACCTTCATATTTCTGAGACAGAAATCGAAGTTCTCTAAAAGTGAGTTCTATCCTATAGCCGCAGTAACTAGTTCGGCCACATCTGAATCTGTGGTGCGTACGGTCAATTGCATGGTTACACCTTCGGATAGAGCGAGCTTAGCACGCACCAAAATTTCTGCACCGCCTCGAAATGTACCTATGAGAACATGACAACGTTTTAAAAGCGAAACCTCAATAAAAAGGGACCGCGATATTACCTGAACACAACAACGTGTGCGTAGCTGCACCTTCGGGTACCTTTTCTGAGAGATTAGCTGGTCCCAAACCAAGGAATTTAATGATTGTATTAACAGCGTCCTGTAGAGTCTGGACAGCAGATAGGGAGTATGTATCTTCAGCTTCAACCCATTCTAAAACAAAACAAAAGAAGAAAAATAGAAGTTTTTCACTTTATTTACCAAACGACAAAAAAAAGGTTTAAATATTACCTTCGGTATCGGCAGCATCCCAAACAGCTTGGAAATTGCTTTTTTTCGTTTGCTGTATTTGATCAGCGACAGTGATTTCCAAGTCTTCCAACATGTATTCATCGTCATAACCATCGTCGGAATCAGGAATTCCCGTAGAGGGATCACAATCTTTCACCACAAATCGTAAAGTAGCTCCGAATGTGGCTACAAAAATTGGGTCGAATTTTTATTGTTACTCTAAAAGACGTTCTTGTTTATTTACTAACCTGCTGAACTATTCACGTCTTGTGGAAATTCAACAATCACGAATGTAGTTTGTAGATCATTATATAATAGCTTCGAACAGGGTATAAGATCTCGTATCATAAAACCTTCCGGTAAAGTTAGTTCTACTCGAACGTTCTCTAATAGCTGATCGGATAAGGTATTCAAACAGTCAAACTGCAAACGGTGAATATTTGAAAATAGTTGGATAGCGGTCTTGAGAAATTTTGCAATTACGGAAGTGTCGCGAGTTCTCTTTTTTTCGCAAGTAGAACTTCACCTTAAGCTTTACTTTATTTACAATATTCAAGTTTACCTGAAAAACAATATGGCTGGGGAATATATGTTTTACACATTGGACTGTGTACTCGGTTTCACTCTCTGTCAGTTGTATAGGTCTGGTTGTGCGATGTAAGGTTCCGAGCGCTTGAATGCCTGGTATTTGAGCAAGATGGGTTGCACTTTCTTCCTCAGGTGTAATTTTCGGTAGACGAGGCGCTGCAAGTAAAACGGAAAGTGAATAATTATTTAAAGCCTTTTCAATTTCAATAAAATACATTTACTATTTGTAATCAACATCGCTTCGTCCTTAATTTCCTCCTTAACTATGGTAGTTTTCGGCACAATAGATATATCGAACGATTGACTACAATCGCCGTTCAAATGGTCTTGTAAGGCTTTTTCCAACAAACCCACTGAACAATTCTCTCTTTCGACAATGTAGTGTTTGTAAAGCTCCTGATTTTTCGTCTGCAAAATGTGCAAATAATAAGTGGCTCTGTCGCGTACTTCATCATCGGGATCCATCTGACAACGGCTCAATAGAACCAAAATGTTATTCAATAGAGATGGACATGAAGCACCAAATTGAGCCAAAGCGGCCACAGCTGCAGCTCGCACTACTGGGCTTTCTAGTATAACTCGATTGTAAATGAATCTTATGTATTTTGAAGGGGTGTTGGCGAAGGGTCCCTCTTTGCCTAACAAATGCAAAATGCGCACAGCCAAGGAGATATGTTCGCAGTCTTCTATAAATTCACACAAATGTGAAAGACCAGACTCCTTGGCATCGGCATTCTCTTCAATAATGGTAATAATTGTGTCGACGATTGATGTTTTATACTCTAGGCCACCTTCTTCACGCAACATGCCGCTCAAAAAATTCATAAGCACAGTGTGTTTGCGCGGATATTTACTGCAAAGGGAACATATGGCTTGCACAACGACTATCTTAAATTCATCTGAAATTTCGGCCACAAATGAAGAAATTTGTTTCATTAGACGTTCTACTGAAGACTCTGCGCCAGTCTTCAGTAATGTGGTAATGGCCAAAGTGGCTACTGATCGATTGGAGTCAGCTATAAGACCTTCCAAATCTAAATTGCAAGTGGTAACAGCAGCTGGGTGTGTCATGGCCACTTTATTGAGCGTACGCACAGCGGCAAAACGTAGAGTGGCCTTCGGAGAACTACAAAATAATTGAAGTATGGAGAAAGCTGGCGACAAAACACGTGCATTAGTGTTCTTCAAATTAACAATAGCATGAGCCGCTTCATAAATAACCATTTCGCTTTTATGACGTAAACAAGATTCAATAAAAGTGAACATAGGTGATTCAGACATCTCATCGGCTGAGATATCTTCTTCCTCAATAAGTTTGCAAGCAATTCGAATCTAACCAAAAATAGATGGAATATTTATTTTGATTCAGAAGATAAATATTCAATATACTTACCAACATGCAAACAGCGTAAGGGCTTTTCATCGAGTTACGAGTCAATTTATTAACCAGTTTCGTAACGGCCAAGCGATCTGATTTTCTTATGTGATAAAGTAGACCTAGGGCGTGGTATTGAACCATAATGTGATCGCTATTTAAAGCTTCTTGTGCTTCATTAGCCCAACGTTTTACGACATCGCCAGCAGTTGTACCTAATCTCAGGGAACTAACTAGAGCCGCACACGATACAGCAACATTCTTATCTACAATACATTGCTTCATGTAACGTTCAACACCTTGCAGCATTGTATTATCAGTAATACTGCATAGAGCACGAATAGCTGCAGCTCGATATAAATCCTCTTTACCGGTCATGTCTTTCGTTAAAGAACTGGTAACAATGATAACATGTTCGGCGATAGATGACAACTCCTTTATGCCCAAATAAACCATGCGACGCAAAACTACATCCTTAGACTGAAACAATTTGGTCATGGCAAAGAAGCATTCAGTAGCTTCTCTTGTACCCAATTGTTCACCCTGGTTGATCAAGTATAAAATCTTGGTCAGTATATGTATACATTTGCGAGGATTAACTGGTGTGTCATTAAACGCTCGCGTTTCTTGCAACACTGATGTTTTTTCGAGATTTTGATATATATTTGTGGAACCTGTACAATATTTGCATTTCGTTAATAAAGACATGCTCAAAAGTACACTTCAATTAAGAGTGACATTTTAAGCACATATAAATAAATTGAATATCATCTGAATATTGAGACAATCATGACTGCTACCAGAAATGTATTACAAGTGATTAAATACTGGCTTTATGGACTAGTGATCGTAAGTAATTTTTTATACTCTGATTTAAGTATGTGTATATATGTATATATTCAAAGTAAGTACCACAGCATAAACTAGTCGATTAAATCAAAAAACTTACCCTCTTCTTCATCGTCTTTCTCACGGCGGAAAGCCATTTCTAATAACTATGAAATTTAAGATGATATTATTGAAAATTTCTTATTAGGATAAGTTTTACTTTTTTCTTGCGATTTGTCTATCCAGGATTTCTGAAAATTTACACGTCACACGCAGATCACGTAAATGTCAAATCAAATAATGCTGCCAAATTTTTGCATGTATTTAGAGTTGTGATTATTGTGTGCATTTATACACAATTTATGCGAATGTATATTTTATACATGCCAGTTTTTTAAAATCGTGAACAACGGATTAAAAACAATAATAGTAATAATAATAAGGAAGCGCAAGTGTTCAGAGAGAAATATGTTCAGTGAAGTGATCGCAATTTAGAAATTACCTAAGATTGATTCTAATGAAAGCAATTAACAGTCAGCGCATCATAAACAATATGAAAAGGCGTTGATTATTTTCCATAAATAAAAAAAAAAACATAAATAGTAGAGAAAACAACTTAATATATACAAAATTATTTCCTTTTCCGAATGAGATATATATCTTCTATCTATGGAAATCATTTGTCCGATTAATTTTTTCTAAAAATTACTTAAAGGAAATCGTATAAGATTTTTCTAGTAACGTCAATGGAAACCGAGGCTGGCAACTCTTAGCCTTCTTAAATAAAAAATAAAGCTGTGAAAATTGTTGAAAATATACAAAATTTTCCTCGTTTTTGTTAAAAATGCACTCTCCTCATAGATCAAATGATGTGCGCAATTCACTTAGAGATCGGGTACAACATTCTTGTTCGCGTGAAAAAGAAAGACAATTGAAAATTAAGCCAAGGCGGTCAAGAAGCGTATCAAAACCCTATTCTGGACATAGTAAAAGGAGTCGGAGCAGAAGCGTAAGGAAATCAAGGTCTAGGTCAGCACATCGAAATCATCATAGTGTCAGCCCTGAAAGATGTCAACGAAGTCCTCGAAAAGAAAATGGTAATAGAAATAGTTCTCGTCATCGAAGCTCCGACCGCCAAGAAAGGCGATGGCCGCACGACAAGTATCGAGAAAATTCAACAAATCCTTTCCGAGGAGCATCAGATAATTTTACGCCCAGTGAGGGCAAGCCTTTTGGTTATAGATTTAGAAGCGGTTCAGTTCGGAACAGTAAGAATGACAACGAAAAATTTTTAAGAAATAGGCGAGAAGAGCGCGAGATTATAGGCGCTGAAGGCTTCGAAGACGTTTGGAACAAAAGTCCGATTCATCCCGAGATCTACAGCGATGATGACGGGGATGAAGTAAAATTGCTAAAACATACATATCAAGGGCCTAAGAAAAAGAAATCTAAAAAGTCCAGCAAGAAAGCTAGTAAAAAGAAGAAGCACAAAAAACTCAAAAAGACGAAGAAGCAAAAAGACGCCTCTTCATCGCAAGATTCTTCAAATGACTCATCTTCTGAAACGTCATCGTTTGAAAGCTCTTCAGAAGACTCGGACAGCGAAACAGGGAATTCGGATGAAGAATGGGTAGAAAAAACCTTGGTTTCCTCAAAGAAAGTTAAGAAAATAAAAAAACTTAAGAAACTTAAAAGACATAAGAAAGCTAAGAAACATAAAGATAGCAATCGCAAAAAAAACATAAGTTTATCGGGGCCTAGTTGTTCGAAGGCAATCCAGAACATTGCTTTCAATGAAGAAGAATTTGGTCCCACTTTGCGTCATACAAGTGGATTGAATCAGAAGGATTTCGGTCGCGCACTGTTACCTGGAGAAGGTGCTGCGATGGCCGCCTACATAGCTGAAGGCAAACGTATACCACGACGCGGTGAAATCGGATTAACGTCGGAGGAAATAGCAAATTTTGAAGCCGTTGGCTATGTTATGAGCGGCAGCAGGTAAGTGTCTTGACTTACTAAACATTGCTTGAAAACTGATCTTGTTTGAATCTTATTTTAATTAGACATCGTCGCATGGAAGCTGTGCGTATACGAAAGGAAAATCAAATCTATTCTGCAGATGAAAAACGCGCTTTGGCTATGTTTAGCAAAGAGGAACGTCAGAAGCGAGAAAATAAAATATTATCACAATTCAAGGAAATGATAAATTCAAAACTTAACGCTAAGGAAAAGAAATGAAACCGAGAATTGAGTTTAATATTTAAAAATGAACCATTTCCAAACGGTCTCATAACTATTAAAAGGAGTGGTGAGGTATATGTGCAAGCTGATATTGTGTATCTGCTTACAAAAAGAAAGCAAAAAACCTCTTTATTTTGGGAGGAATATATATTATTTACACTAAACCTTTTCTGAATTGTATGTGCGTGGCTATGGATTAGCTGTATTTCCACGCAGAAAGCCTACATAGATTTTATGACAGTTTATAAAAAGGCTTTAGCAACAATTCATTTAGAAACGTTTTTATTAATTTGAAATTACGTAACGGTATTATTTTTAAGAGAAAATTGTATTTGACCTTTGACACATTTGGAGTTAATGTATGTAAAGAATGGGCAGCATTTTATTAGATGTGGCCATACCAGTTTTTGATGACGGGAGTTAATCTGCTAACGACAAACATCTAAATATCCATGCAAACTTACGGCAATTGACAATAAGTAAAGTGGAGTAGTACCGTGATTGCAGAACGAAATCATCGTATATAATTCAAATCTCATTTCTAAAAGCTTAACTGTATTTTGTGACTAATGACACTAAAGAATATATGAAATAATTTGCTATCCTGGGTGGAAAATTTTGCTCAATTTCCCTCATCAATGAACGGCTTTTATTACTACAGAAAGATGTTGATTTAAAAGGAGCGTTGGCTTACGTTTCCCGCATTTCAAGTAAAGCTTATCTCTCGATATGTGTTTTAATTATATTTACTATTGCTATTACCAACGGAAGTATACATAAAGCGGCTTATCTTCTAGTGGTATATGATATGTGATCTTGGGAACAGTCTATCGATAAATTCTATACAATTGTGGCTTGTGGAGTTCTTGCGTTTCATTAATACTTTTTGTCATTTTGCCTGAATCACCCTCTTCTCTAATGATGAAAATGTCCTAAAATAAGAAATAAAGGGTAATAAATTACTTTATTAGAAAATAAAGTTTTTGAATTGCATTTTGGGATTTTTGATTAATTTTGCGCAAGTCAGTGTGTTTAAAGTAATTCAACTTAATGTCAATAGCAACCAGCCGATAATGCAAATGTTCTAAGTGAATAATCCTCAAATCTCATTTAACAAATTCGAGGAAAAGATACCTACCGCTTAAACAGATCTGAGAAGAAAATATCTCATTTAACATGATCGAAGCGGTGCAATGCCATCAACGAAGCGCTATCAATAGCTTCGTTGGCAAGGGCAGTTGGAGGCAGAGTTAAGCCAAAACGTCGCTGGAGTGACGGTGGAGGAGCGATGGGAAAAACTACGATATATTAAGGGGTATTTGAGGCGGCAAGAAAGTGCCGTGACCAGAAAAAAGAAAGAATCGGAAGTGATTTTTTGATCTCATCACTATTTTATCGTTAGGCTAGCAAAAATGTTGAGCGATTCTTTAAATTAACGTAAAATACATAGTCATATGTAATCAGAATTCAAAAATTGAAAAAAGGAGCTGATGTTAGCAACACTGGTTCTATTTATTTGCAGAGTAGAACATGTGGGGAAAAGTATTGTTTATAGTTAAGAACTCGAATATCGTGTACAACGATGGATGGAATTTCGGTACTCTGTAATAAAAATGTATAATTTTATATTTTGTTTATAAGTTAATAATAAAAAGTGTCCGTGGGGAGAGTTTTAGAGAGAGAACGGGAATTGCATTTACTAGTGTTAATTAAAGTGTTTTTCTTCTGTTCAGTTAGAATCTTCTCGAGTTATTTCAGTTTTATGTGGCGATTATCTAGCTCTAGGGCAAAAAGGAGCTGGTGGCAAAGTTTACTCTACAAGTCTTCCATTCGTTATGAACCGTTATGCCTGAAAAACGAAGCAAACCAGCAACAAACTTTGTAAAAACAACGATAACAAGTAGTGCAAAATTTCAGTAAAAGCCGGCACTTTTAAATTGCAAATAAGAATATAAATAGCGTGCAGAAAAGCGATAACAAAAAGAAAGATAATAAATAAAAAAGTAGAAGACACGATATAAGATAAAAAAACTCCCAGTTTTTACTTATACAGGGAATGAAATTTGGGTAAACACGGTTCAAGGAAATGCTGTCACCTACCAGCGAAGGAATGTTGTTAACGCCTACAATCGAAGCAGGAGCTTCAACAAGTGCTCGGACAACCGTTGAAGCAACTGATGGAAAGATAAATGGAGATTCGAGTGATAGCGCAGTCCAAATGAAGAAACGTTTAGGTTTATTGGAAGGTGTAGCTATTATTCTCGGTATTATAATCGGTTCTGGCATCTTCGTGTCACCAAAAGGAGTTATACAAGAAGTCGAAGCGGTCGGCACTTCTCTTATTATTTGGGTAATGTGCGGCCTTTTATCGATGATTGGGGCTTTGTGTTACGCCGAGTTAGGTACATCTATACCCCAATCGGGGGGTGATTACGCTTACATTTTAGAGGCATTTGGACATTTACCTGCTTTTCTCTTTCTTTGGGATGCCATGATGATATTTGTGTAAGTTTCTTTAATTAAATACTCTCCAAACTCTGATAACTTTGTAAATTAAAATCAATTAGCCTTCGGTAGTAAAATGCAACGCAATCGCAAAATTTTATTGTTTCTATGGAATTCATTTGCACACATGTATAGTTGTGTACTCACTGACTAATCCCTCTTTTATATCCAATATTTATTGCCGATGTATGCATAATTGCTTTATGTATTTCTATGTGACCTTCACAAATGCACATAAAAAGATGATATGACGTTTTCTTCTGCGTAAGTAGAAAGTACAAAGAAAAAACAATGAATGAAAAGCAAGATCATGAACTACTTTCAAAATAATGAAGACGTTCCGATTCTATCATTGATCACAATTCCTGAAGTTGTCGGAGCGGAACTTTTCGAGTTTTTGAATGACAAACGAATTGATTTCCATTAACATAATATGCATCTAATAACTCGGAAAAGTTTTACTACAAAATTTGAAAATCCACTTGAATAGTAGAAAGGGAAAAGAAGTCGCATTTAGATAAATTTTTATTGGGAAAGACTAGACCAAACCTAATGATTGTTTAAAGGCCGTTTACAAAGAGAGCTTTGTTTTAATCCAAAAAATGCAAAATTTCTTCCTATGCGTTTTCCAAATACAAATATAAATTAAAAAAATGATGAACTTGAATCAAAAGTGATCCTCTCAGGTCATATTTTCTTTTGCCGTCACTATTACAGACCTACGACAAACGCTATAATGGGTTTGACATTTGCGTCGTATGTACTACAACCGTTCTTTAGCGGCGAATGCAAGATACCTGAACTTGCAAAGCAACTTTTGGCCGCCGTTACGATATGCTTTTTAACATATTTGAATTCCTACTACATGAAGGTTACTACAAAAATGCAGAATATTATAATGTTCACAAAAGTGGGAGCCTTACTGATGATCATTGTTATGGGTATAATATGGATGTTGTTGGGTATGTTATAATCAATTAAATTTTTTAATATGACATTATTTTAAAAGTTCTCTGTCTTCATTTAAGGTAATGTTGATAACTTTTACAAACCTTTTGATAATACGGAAACTGATCCTGGAAAATTCGCAGTAGCATTCTATTCGGGTATATTTTCATATGCTGGCTGGAATTATTTAAATTTTATGACTGAAGAACTGCAAAATCCTTATAAAAATTTACCCAGAGCTATTTATATATCACTGCCTTTGGTTACAATTATTTATGTGCTGGCAAATATGTCGTATTTAGCGGTATTAAGTCATAAAGAAATGATGGCTTCCGATGCAATAGCTGTGGTACAGTATTTCATTCTGATTGTTTGAAATTCTTCTTAATTTTAGACCGGGTTGGAGATTAATTGAAATGTTTTTATTTTCATTTTTTTTAGACGTTTGGCGACAAAGTATTGGGTGTTTGGTCCGTTATCATTCCAATTATGGTTGCCATTTCATCATTTGGGGGTCTCTCCGTACATATTATGACATCTTCTCGGATGTGTTTCGTTGGAGCGCGCAACGGGCACATGCCAGCTTTATTGGCGCATATCAATGTCAAAAGTTACACACCGCTGCCATCCCTGTTTTTCCTGGTATGAATCAAATTAAGGCAATGGTGAAATTTATTGGTATTTTCTTTCTTTCCCAGTGCATTTTATCAATTGTAATGCTGGTCTGTGGTGATGTATACGTCCTGATTACTTACAGCAGCATTGTGGAGTCGTTTTTTATTATGTTGTCTGTGTCGGCTATATTGTATTTTCGCTACAAAAGACCAAATATGGAAAGACCGATTAAGGTAAATTAAATTATGAACGATATGTTTAGTCGTGGCGTCAGGCATGCGTTCTCATTCCGCCTATAATACGCAGATGAATCAATAATGAGAAATTTTTATGTATTCTTCCAAGTCTAAATTTCATCGCTTTCATTGCTTTCATCGTTTTATAACAATCAAACAATATTTTTTATAAATAATATGGACTGGCGGAAAGAAGTGACAATGGACAATACCGCGATATTTGAAAAACTGTCAATCTGATCTTGGTTTTCAAGCGACTTTGACGCGGCTTCTTCGGTTCCGCTTCAACTTTTGTACGATATACGCTCGAAATTAGTCATCTATTGTGCACGGAAAAAATTCGTCGGTTTCTCGTTGACAAAATGCAGTTTTGTAGTTTTCATCCCAAACATGGAATCTCAGTACATCTTCAGTTTTCTTAACCTGTCGTCGTCCTTGTCATAAACACTAACATCTGTTTGTTTGTCACAAGAACTTGAACGGTAGAGTCATTTGAATTAATTAAATTTCACTTTTAGGTTTCCTTGTGGATTCCCATTGTTTTTATTATAATATGTGCCTTTTTGATTATTGTGCCCGTATATGTCGCCCCATATGAGGTAATAAACATTTTCACATCTTATTTCACTTTTAACATTTTTCGTCTATTAGGTAGGCATGGGTATATTGATCACATTAGTGGGTATTCCCTTTTATTATGTGGGAGTTGTATGGAAGAAGAAGCCTCAATGTCTACTTAAGTTTACAAGTAATTTAAAGGATTTATATATTTGTATACATATAGTTGTAGTAAGCAGAAAAAATTGTTTTTACGTATATTTCTTTACAGCCTCTGTTACTCTACTGTGCCAAAAGCTGTTAGTATCAGCTAAAGAAGAAAAGGATGATTAAAGTATCTGGTTTATGTGAATAGAGAGACCAAAGTAAAAAAGAGTTTATGGTGACTTGTGCAATATTGTTTCAGTTTATTGATCATTGCTTTTATATCCGTTATCGGTTATTATTCTCTTTAAGCTTGAATTCAAGTTTAGTGTGAAAGCAAAAATAATTTATGTTCTTAGCTTAGGTGCCACTAAAGTTATGTCGAATGTTATTATCATATTTTTCCTTTATACCGAAGTCATATAATATATATTTTTTAAATTAATTTCATATAAACAATTATAACTGTTAAAGACTATTTTGAAAGCACTCTTTTTGTAGGCCAGTTTTTTTCCTATGTAGCTATAGTTTTTTATGAGCCTTGCAGTTTACACATTCTGCAGTAGCCATGACAATTTAAAAGTTGAAATATTTCATTATGAAAGAACAGTTATTTTCATATCAAAATTTAATTATTTAATCATCCATTAATCTACTCGCTTGAAACCATTGTCGCGCAGTTATTGCTTACAACTTTTATTTAATATTAGTAATTAAAAACTTTTCCTTTGAATCTAATTCACATAGACGTGTGCGTGTGTGTGTTATAAATGTATACATGTGAAACGCATTTATATTTTAGATCAGTCTTCTTTAAGTGTTAAATATAATAAATTTGAGCATTTTGTTACTGCATAAAAAACTGATTTTTACATTTATTCCTTATCTTGCTTACTAATTTAATTAAAAGGGTTCGCCATATACATATAGTATACTATCGACGGCAGACATGGTTAAACCGGCCTGCTTTTTTACGTTGATCAAGAGTATATATATATATATATCTATATGGTATGATATGATATAAAAAACATACGTAGGAGGTGAACGTTCTGATATCTAAAGCAACGTTATGAAAATTGTGTGATTTTATTTTATTTTTTTTTATGAAAATCAAAGTAAATCTCTTTTGGCTTGTTATAACTGGATCCGTAACAATTGGATTTGTAACAATTGCTTCCGTAATTAAGCTTTAGAACTACGATATACAATCGTTATATTAATTGTGAACAAATAAATCGCTAATTTGCTTTGACCGTGCTAAAGCATTGATAGCACTGTTTCATTTTATCACTGCTTCAGTTTGTGGAAAATTTTATTGTGTGCAACAATGCAAATTTTCGTAAATGAATGGACTTTTTGCAATAAAAAGTTGTAGAGGAGGTCATTTGAAATTTATTCGCGATCCTTAGCGACACACTTCATCTTCTTTTAACGAAACGAAATCAGATTAAAAATAGAAGTTAATATTTAGAAGCGGCGTCCATGTGTTTCTTTGCAATGAAAAACCGTTAAGCATATGCCTTTGAGAATTAGATTTGGGCTCATTTTAACTGTAGTGAATAAAAATTTTTATTTTATCGCGCCAGCTGTTACTTTGTCTGATATGTTTGCGAGATTATTTTTCGTATTTCTTTTAAGTAAGCTTGCCGCCATTTTGTGCTTTAAAAGATGAGAAAATTATTTAAAACAAATCTGCCTAAGTTCTTTAATTGATCGAGGAGGAAAAATAGTGTAGTATGTGATTAAAATTAAGAAAAAATGATAAGTGAAATAATGAGCTCCTTATTCACGATATTAATTCTCGACATTAATTCTGCATTTAGTTTTTATTTTTATTTTGCCTGATATGTTGCCGAGGTTATTTTTTGCATCTCCTTTAAGTACGCTTACCGCCATTTGGTGCTTTTAAAGATGAGAAAATTATTTAAAATAAATCTGTTTCGAGTTTTTCATGCGATCGGGAAAAAAAGAAAATAGTGCACTAGTGAATGTGATTAAAATTAAGAAAAAATAATAAATTAAATAATGAGCCACTTATCAATAGTGTTAGATTTCGGCGTTGATTCTTATTGCATTTAGTTTTTAATTTGATGTCAGATTCTGGCTGCACCTCCAGCCGAAAGGAAATGTGTGAAGAGAAATATGGGTAAGTGATGTTTTATCTTTGCTTTTTTTTGTGATTAAATTTACGAATTTTATATATATCTTGAATTATGTTTAATTAAGTCACATAAGCGTAGACTTTGGAAAAGACCTTTAAAGGTTGATGAAAGTTTTAAAGTGTTCTTATTCGAAGGTAATCATGGCATGGAAGTTGATGAAAGTTCCAAGATGATTCTCATTTCTACCCATAAACGAAAGAAGTACGCATGTCGGAAATTCTTTTACGATACTGATCAACTTTACAATGTCTGCGTAATTGTCTGTCTATATGTCTTTCAAGTCCTGTAAATGCTTCTAAGATATTAATTGCAATAAGAAAAATGATAAGACTCATATAAAAATTGTATGTAAATGATAGACAATTTCTTGTTACAAACGGAACGACAAGTAAAGCGTATATATCGGAATAATGGGTACAAAAACGCTTAAGTGATGGAAATTTTAAAAGAGTCTTTAATTTCACATTTTGAATGCAGTGGAATGAAATAAGTTTATTGAGCGCTTTATCTTTATCGGCGAAGTAAATTGATTTAATAAAAACATTGAACGTATAATAAGTTTGCTAATCAAATCAAAAAATATATATTTATCTGTTTTTTTAATGGGTAAAATGTATTCGACTATTATGTAGTGCCGTTCGCTTTCTTTCAAAGTTTATTATATCGGACATGAAACGCTTTACATTTATTCAAGTTATTTCATAGAATGTCCTCTTGAATAAAGTGTTTAATCGTTTCCATGATAACAAGAATGGGATACAAGCTTAATATTGCTTTGACGTGCACTTTGAAATAAATAAGCGCTAAACGAAAATTGTCCAATTACGAATTTTAAACTTTCCTTAGGCCCATTCTATACCTCCCAACAGGTCAATAAAATTGCAAACTTTAGAAAAAGGAAACATACGAAAGTAATTTATATTATTCTATATTTCTTGCTTCACTGTGCCATACCTTTTGATTAGTTTCCAAGATCAACTAGACGGCCGACCCTAATTGCTAAATAATCACACGTAGATAAGAAGATTAGGTTCCATCGAATTAATATTCGCAAAAGTCTTGCTTGATTTTCAGGCGTGACTTCGTCATAATTAATGAGATTTTTTTATGACACGATTATTCGCATTAATTTATGTACGTGTTGTCTTCCTAGTTATGTAATTCGTATTTTTAGAACGCTTGGTGTCAATAGTATTTCTTTTCATAACATATTTTGGCTAAAATACATTAAATATTGAAACTGCTTTCAGTATATTGTTTATTATTCGCTCGAAGAGTTTCAGTACATTTCGCTTAAAGAATTCGTAATTAGAGAATATTTCATATTACGTCCAAGAAAGACATGCGGGAATTCGTTATTTGTCTAAAGAAAACCAAATCTATAAACGGAATTATACTTAGGATGGAAGTATGCGCAGTGTTTGGTAGATATTTATTAGTAGTCTATAAACTTCTAGCGAAAAAACACACTGGAATGTCATTAATGAAAATTTATATGCGCAGCAGAGTTTTTTCTTCTTCTTCTCTAACGAAAAAGTCCCTTTTAGCTTTTTATGATTTCATAGAGCAAGTGAGGAAGAAATGAGAAATGTTCCTGTTTCACCAAAGGAGATGGTATATTTGTTTGGGGCACTCTATAAAGCATCAAATTCTGAATTGATTTAAGCACGTCCTTCTGCCCGATTGCCTGTTTGCGTAATGTTTATGACAAACTCCCTTCTGGTCTAGCAAATCGCCAAACTGGTTAAGGGATAACCACACGGACAATGTAAAGTAAGTTTTGGGTCCATCGGTTTTAAAAAGCCACAAAACACAGTATCGGATTTCATGATCATTACTTAGAAACTTCAGTTTTAATACAAAGATAAAAGATTCGGCGCCAGGTGAATATTATTTTCTTATTTGTTTTGTTTCTTATATCATTCAAGCCGTGGTCGCCCGGGGGAGAGAGCCTTTGTGAGCACTTCCTGCCGCCACTTTACCTACTACATCAAGCTTCATTCGCTTTCTTCGCAAAACTCGATTCCTCATGTCGGTGGACCCGACTTCTCAAAAACAAATGCTTCGTTCTTATCAAAATTTTGATAGATTGAATATCCTTTAGAAAGATTTGATACTCGTAGACTGATTCTGGACGAGAAAGTTTTTTCTTTCGTTACAAGTTCCTTTGCAAGGCAATACGTGGAATAGATTTTATCGAACATTGTCGTTTTACTTACATTTGATTATTGATGCTGGCATAAGTCGATGTTTTGCACGAATTGAGGGGGGGAGGGGGGCGATATACTAAGGATATTACTATCAGTTTAAGCCGAAAAAGGTTTCCAACCTTTTATTTGCGTCAATTTCTTATTGAGTTTGCGGTTATTTTTACACATATGTATATATCACGCGTCTGTGTACGTTGAAAATGAGCAATAAATTTAAGAATTTATGTGAGACATAAAATCTATTTTATTATTTTTTGACATTGAATTAATGAACCGGAGGTGTTCCAAAAAGAGGTGTCAAACAAAATACATTTTTTAAATGGAAGTCATATTTTCCCTAATTAAGATATGAACTTAATTAAGCCTGCTTCGATAGCTTATTTCCATTAGTTTGGAGAAAGTGTGCAACGGTGCATAGTGTAAGCCAGGCGATCATTGGTGTCAATAACGGCGGCAATTGTTTTGAAGAATTGCAACAAGAGAGAGAGAGTAAAGAGACAGTCGATCATTTGGTTTTGTCTTAGTTCAGATTGTATGGATTTCAAGTGGATGATTGCTTGTTATCAGGATTAGATATAAGAAAGTGAAAATGATATCGTTCAAATGATTTGTAGCCATGAATGAGACTTGGGGGGGGGGATAACCCCATATCCCTAACATTTTGCATCGGAAAAATGACAACCTGGCTTGAACCTGTTTGCTCAGTAGAAAACGAAATTTTTTATTGTCTTCAAATTGGATCTAAACCGGCGGAACGTGAATTTGCTGAAGAAGAGAGTTTTTGCTTTTGGAAGAATATGACTCACCGGAACTTGCGTTGCCTAATTAAAGAAGTGGCTAATATATTATAAACTAGTACAGTGCCCATTGTATTCACAAGTTCTGCCTCCTTTGGCTTCTTGCCTTCCAAAGGTACAAGGAAAATATAACCGGGGCCGCCTTAAAGGAGGATTCTGAAGACCTTTTAAAAAATCACGTGACAACTTCATCAAATCTACACAAATTTCATTCAGTTCCTTCTGTTTAGTTGTTAGGTCGCGAAATTTCTGAATGTACTGGTATTTGTTTAAAAGTTGTTTGCAAAAGTAACTCCAAACGACATAGTTCGTCAAAACGTACGCAGTTTTGCGAATCAAATTCTGAATCGCCTTAAGCTTGGCAACAAAAGCAATAGTGGCCCTTGCAAACATTGAAAAATAGACCAAATTGGTTAGAGGGCGTGCCTACAATACACCAAAAACTGAGAGGACTGTTGTTTTTAAAAGGAAAAAAAATATTGGCCTTCTTTGCCCGTTACTTGTAATCTTTATATTTTATGGAGCTATAGAATGCCTTTATGAAGATGGAAAAAGAAAATCCCGTAGCCGATATAGTAGAGTATCGGCATTTCTTACTTTTCAAAGCGGTGGGTACAGAGGAAGGATTCCGTCAAAGCGAATACACAAAGGCAAAAAAACACGTACCCCACACACGTTTGAGTTGCAGTTGTTCTGGTTACTGATTATATTGAACGGAGCGTAAGCTGCGGCTGAGTATAGTGCATATTGCAAGATATCTAATTAAATTCTTCGTTACATAGATTTACGTTATTATTTGATCACGAAGATATGATACGAAGGGGTTGTTAAATCCTGCAAGTCCTCAATGCGGGAAAAGTCAATTTTGAAATATAAGTTCATCTTGGTACACCTTATTTACTTGCATATATTCACAGTTATGCAGATTCAATGTGGTTTACTAGTTAATATATATATGTATATATATATGTGTGATAGCTAATTACAATTTTAGATGTTTGTAAATTTGAAAAGTTGTCTTGGTGGATACAAAGCCAAGTTTCGCGACTTATCTACGAATATAGAACACCTTTAATTCAAGTCGTTAAAAATATGTAGATGAGGTAAACAAATAATACGCTAACGCGAAGCATAGATAGCGAGATATCAGACATAAATTTATTGTCGCATATTTTTTTAAAAACCAATATTCGCAGCCAGCTGTGAAGAGCTCTACACCTCTTCTACACATTTTCATATAAATATATATATATTTTTATTTATACCTACCTGTCTGTATTCGTATAATATTTACTCAAATATTATACAATTGTCAGTAAGTACTTTATGGCATAATTTTTATTATACCGCACTCGCACTCGCACTCGCACTCACACTGCGTCGCCACCATAATAGAGCTTTGCTGTGCTTATCTTATTGGCTGTTTTTTTTTCTTTCTTTTTGCGAAATTTGCACGTTCAAGTAACATATTCGTCCGCATAACATCGGACTGGCTATTAAAATGTATCGCGCGAATGTTAGAACAATCTTCCATCGGATAACTAAACCTTAACTAAATCTTGTCCGTAAAGGTGCTTGAGTTTGTTAATAGCGCAACGCCACTGGCGCTCTCTTCATTGTAAAATCTCTTTAATTATTATTAAAGAAAGTGTGCCTTTTTAAATACAAACAAACACACGGATATCTCGCTGATATTCAAGGTGTTTGATAACCAGACAATAGTTGGAATTAATTGTGAATTGAAGAGATCTTCGAAGAGATCTATTTCCTTCGATCTAGTCATTAATAAACGCAAAGAATGCTTAAGTGCGTGAACAGGTATACGGGATCTCTGCAACAATTTCTATTAATTTTTATTATCATCAATTTTACAGCTAAACAAGGTGAGACATACATAGAAAATGGGAAAGCTTTTCCCAAGCTTTTCCCAATAAAAACAGAAAAAAAAAAAACCTAATCAAGATAATGTTAATTAATATAAACACTATTTGGTAACAATAACTAACGTTTTTTTATATTGAAATTGACCGGTGTTTGTGCGATCATGTGATGTAACGCTTGCTTGGCTCATATGCTTATATTGAAGTGTTTTAATGTGTGCACTCAAGTTATACAGAAATATGGAAATCTGTATGGAAATCCATGAAAGTGTCCGCATGAATACGTTGATACCAGTAAAGGTGAATAAATATGAGACGATTTCTAAATTAAACGCGAATTACATTTTCGGGGAATATTCTATGCAGCTGAAGGCAATTAGTAAACCCCTTTTTTTTACTTTATTAACAAGTACGACGAAGAAAGAAGTTCCTATCCCTAGGATAAGAAAAGTTTGTTTTATTAAAAAAATTAGAAGATCAGTTAATAACGTGATATCCTGCAGCAACGGATAACAGTGTTTGAATTTTGTTTGTGAATGAAGTTGATTTAAAGTGAGAGAGAGCACATGTTTGTTCAAATTTCCGTGATTTGAAACTTTTGAAAAAATGAAAAGACGGAATGAAGAGACAAAGTTTGGTTTCGCAGCCAAGGATATTACAAAGATCAAGACAACAAACATCAAATTGTGTTTTTATTTTTTCGAAGATTAATGTTTTTTTAGTCTGTTAACTATGATCCATTATATAGTGACGAATGATGTGAAAAGACGAGGGGGGAGGGGGAATTTAATATTAGTAGTAGTACGAATAGTACTTTAAGGAATGTCCCCTGTTCGCCTAGCACGGTGACGGTCGGAACGAAGTGAGGAAAAAGAAAGAGTTAGGAAGGATAGCATAGGAAGGCGGCCACAGCCTAATGGGTGTATGCTTAATCGGTAACACTCCCTATAACTATGACTAAAGTAAACTTTAGGACTCGTGAGATTTGAACTCGCGAACACTGATTCGCTAGTCGCCATTCTTACCCATCAGACTATGCATGCATTGACATTGACCTAAGATTGCCTTATTTCTGATGGAAAAATCGACATTTTCATTCATTAAAACATGCGTTCCCTTTTTTCTAATCATACACAGGCGCGGCGACTAAGCGTTGTTTTTATCTCAAAGCGAACATCTGGCACTAGCATGAATCCTTCATCAACGAGGTTTAAACTCGACAATAATCTTGCGGAAATTTCCCTGTTATAAGCAACAACGGCCTAACAGTCCTCTCTTAAAAATTTTTTATTGTGTATTTGCTACTAACCTTTAAATATTTAAACTCCTTTTTTTTGCAATACATACATACACGGCTGTGAACCTTGGTAAATTGCGTTATTCTCTCAGCGCTCCTTTTTCAAAGTTTTGAGTTCTCTAGGCTGTGACTATGATGTAAATCCCTCTGGTAAGATTTGGGTGAGGTAACGGAAACCCGGTTCGATTGACTATAGCACGTTTCGCATTTGATTATTATTAAGACCTATTGACACACATTAGTTATTATTTCATGTTGTTGTTATTTGTTTTTGTTATAACTAATTAAATTAAAGGGACTATAAATTATCTTTTTTTTTTGTGAGGAAACTTTGTGCCGTCTATATGTGTATTTGTAAAGTAATTTTTTTTTTTTTTGCTTTTTTGAATAATCGTAGCGATAAGTGGGTATCGTTTCGGATATTCGGAATCAAATCAGAAACGTTGGGCACGTCATCATGGTTATTGTGCGGGCAAAACGCAATCACCCATAGCTGTGAATCCTGCAAGGGTACGTTTATGATGACATCATACGCAGAAGGTTCTTGCAATAAACATTAAATTTTCATAACTCTTAGGCAATATCACTGCATATGCCCGCTGTTGATATGATTGGTTATCATAATCTGCTTCCGTATCCTCTAAAAATTATCAATAATGGCCATACAGGTATTGTCTAAAACGTTACTCTCTTCATTTTCTTTACAAAATTGTATGCTTTTACAGCGATTTTTTTTCATTATAAATTTCTCTCATATTTCTCAATCAGTCCCAGCACTTTTAATCTGGCTATTAATCTAATTTTCTTTTTTCTTACCTCTTTTTGTGTTTTGCTTCGCTTTTGAAGAGTCAGTCAGTCAGTCAGTGCATTGGGAGATATTGATTTCTTTCTATTTTTTTTTTTGCCTTTTTTCTTTTGAAATTTTCTTTCCCTTTGTATTCAATACAGTATCAATTGCGATACCGAAATTGAGTGAAGAGCAATTAGGGAAAGGTGAGTTCATGCCGTATACAAGCGGGGCAAAGCTGCCGGGTGAATTTGAAGTGGAGAGCATTCACTTTCATTGGGGTGACAAAAACAATCGAGGCGCTGAGCATGTCGTTAACGATATTCGCTACACCATGGAAATGCATATTGTGCATCGCAATCGCAAATATTCCAACTTGACGGAGGCACTCGGTTATACGGACGGTGTTGCTGTGCTGGGTTTCTTTTACAATGTGCGTATTATATGATTTTTCTGTTCTTGTTTTGGAGTAAGTAAGCAATTCTCGAGTCGATATGACCGTTAGGTGTTTTTATTTGACATTTGTTTTTTTTCTTTCTCTAAATCACTTGCACTTCGATTGAATTGATTCTTGACAGTAAGTTTTATTTCAACTCCACGGTCGCGTGTAGTTGCATTGGTAAATTCTTGTTTCCACGAGCAGAGCTTATATATATGACATCTAAAGCACAACTACATGAAGTTTCGAAATGGGATTAGATCGGTTTGCATTGGCTTTAAATGCATGTCTAAAAACTATTGTATATCATTTCGTAAGAAATTGAAGTGATCCTTTAATTGGGCTCAGTCTTCACCTGGACAGTCTTTATGACAAAGTAGCTGCGTTCCATTCCATTTAAAATCTAAAGAGGCGTTCTATTTAAATATTTACCCTTTTCCTTTATTACATAACAACAATTATTACAACAATTAAAAAGTCAAAAGATTATCGCACTTGATTAGGATTTCATACTAAGCAAGCATAGACAGACGTTGTTCGTGGGCACATGGGACAAAGAAAGGGAAATATTTAGCTCGCTTTTAACGACAGATAAAACAGAAGAAAAGAGGAAGATTTTGAAGCAACAAAACATGCGAATATTATTTAATAGAAAGACTGCATTTAAAAAACGTATTGACCTTACAGTAAATAATAATTACACCTTTTGTGCACAATAAACAACACAAATTAAAGCTAGTAGTCACCGACTATTCATGCGACACACTATTCACTGAACATAGTTCTTTAGTTAGTATTTGTCATATAACTCCAAAACCTCTAGTGGCATATAAAGGTTCTCTTCTTTTTTTTCGCGACCTCTTTGTAAGGAGAGGAGATACGCAAAATAGACGTTTCAGGTCCAAAATCAGCATGGCAAACGTCTACATCACAGGGCTCTTTGTAAGAACGTTTATATAAGAGAGGGTTACAAAATGGTTTCCGGCCAGTGCCGTTTAAATTTTTCTCGTTCAATCCGTATTTAACGCCAAAATATAGCTTATCACCGATTTTTGTACAACTTTCATATATTAATTACATTTGAAAAGTTTTCTCTTCAAAATGCAGCAGAAGGTTATCGTAAAACCTGTCTGATAAAATCCAAATTTCATGAAAATTTGCTCATGCAGATTGAAGAAATCAATGCACAGACAGACAGACATGCTTAACTCGACTTCAACTGAAGTCTTTTTGGGCGTTACAAACTTAACGCATTCTTAATACACGTCGTCGAAGGTACGATAACGTGAACCATTATCCGGAAATGTCGAAAAAAACATCAGGTAAAAAATACAGATCTATTATGGATTTGAGGGGTTTGAAAGTGGTTAAGATCTAAATCGAAGCGTGAGAAGGAGAATATTGCATATATAGTTGTAAGGGTGTACCATAGGTTTTTCGCGCTTTAAACCGCAATTTTTCTGTGCCATTCTATCACTTGCAGTTGGATGAAGACGAAGGACTTGGTTTAACAGCAATATCTCGTCATTTACATTTAGTACCAGAAGCGCATAACGAGGCTACTTTGAATGTTACTTTTTCATTATCGTCACTCATCAACGGTGTGGATGTTGATAAGTTTTATACATACAAAGGTAAGTTGGAGGAATTTATTGTAATCCATGGGCGAATTGGGCAAACCTCAAATTTAATTACCTGTAGGGACAACATGTTAGTAATATGTCGTATCATACATAGATAAAATCAATCAAATGATTGAGTAATGGGATGAACAAAGAAAATCGGGTGTAGTGTTATACTTTAATTAGTTATCATACACTACGAATATCAGCAATAAATAGAAATAGTAATTAAGGGTAATTATTAAAGCAATTTTTTGTATGTGTCTGTAGGATTTACTGATTTCATTCGTTTTGTACTACAAGCATGCATAGAGTCAGCAAATGAATTGAATTTTCCAAATGTAAAGAGCTATAGTTTATCATTTCGATTCCGACAGAATCTCCTTCTCCGAAGAATGTTCTTTACTCTAGAAGAACGGTCCGAAATCGTCAGAAAAACATGTGGACTTCCCTTATAAACGATTCTGTCTCAGTGACAACGACCGCTTGATTCGTGCAATTATAAGTCTGGGTTTACTCCTCGGCCTTTTCAAAAACATCTAAGAATTTTGCTTTTGTTAATGCATCGTTTGAGAGCAGTTTGCGATGAACATAGTAGATGCGCGACTTTTAAAAAGAGTCCTATTTTCTAAACTTACTTTCGAAATACATCCAGTCTTTGAAATTTGGGATTGAAGCGAGCCATTAACACATGGACAGAAGGACTAATTCTTACTAAGTAACTCTAATTCCAATACATTATATAATAATTATTGTCTTCTTAAAAGGTTCGTTAACAACACCGCCATGTTCAGAGGCTGTGACTTGGATTTTATATCCTGATCCCATACCTATCTCAGCAAAACAGGTTTAAAGAAAATTTTTGCTTTACTTTTTTTTTTTTCCTTTCAATATTTATTTGCCATAGATATCGCGATTTCGTCAATTATATGACGTTGAAGAAGGTGCACTGGTCGACAATTTCCGGCAATTGCAACCTTTAGGTAATCGGCGTATTTTTATGCGTGTTGGTCACACACATCATACAAACATACAAACCTTGATCTCCGAAGTGGATTACAGGAAATGGGACTGGTTTCATTAGGATAAATTAACTACTGAATCACTTAAGTAAAGCATTTACAACGTCTTGCGAAAGGTTCAATATTATTGGCTTTTGCATATCTCCTAGTGTAGGTGATGATCCCATAAAGAGTGGAATGGGTTAATAAATCTGAAACTAAATTAGTTACAATTCACTTGAAATTTTTTTTTTTTTTTTAACCCAATAGGAACGCTTACGATTAACCGGTTGAAATATGAGTTAAAAAATTTACATTTTCGAGTTACACCCTTTCCGTCTAACGATCGAGGACCGCAAACTGAAACGTTTCTGTGGTTGCGTTAAACGTGGTTATATAATGCGTTTTATACTGAAAATAGATGAGACAGGACTGTCGCAGTGTCTTCCTGATGATGTATTTTTTCGTTTTTCTTACATTTAGTTATGCATCAAATAGCTTTGCCTGTGCACAGCTTTAGCAGACATGCTTCTTATTGAGATTCGCAGAGACGATCAAAGAGCTGAAGTAATCTTGAATACTGGCCATCGGAAAGTTTCCAACTGATGCCGATTTACAACGCAAAATAGTTATTTACCTTAGCTGCGCAACAACAACAATAATGATAAGTCCTAACTATAGTCCCTGTCGATCTATTCATCAATCAGTTCTTTTGGATTTTTTAAAATTATTATTTGAAATTTATAAAAGGTTAACATGCTTAGGCTCAGGTTAAAGTAACTTCCAATGCATCTGCCAGGAGGAGGATTTTCGTGCCAAGGTCGAGGAAATCTTATGTAAAGTAATTGTTACTATAATGTATTTGAAGATATATTTTCGTGGAATTGCTTAGGTGTGGGAATATCTTCTAGAAAATATTTAGCTGGTATACGTAAACATATCTTATGAAGTAAATCAAATGTTATTTGGTTCGTAACATTGGTTGTGGATGGGCGCAGAACTTCGAAGAATTCTCGCCAATTTTCATTGATTGACGTGAGGATGCTTCGTTCCAAATCTTTGTTGCGACCGCCGAATAAATTATCAAATTTTGCCTTCAATTTGCCAATATTTATATCGTTTTGGACTTTAGTGACATTATAGAAAGTGTAGCCGTCTCTACCGAATAAGTCAGTTTTGATAAGCGTTGTTATGTTGACATCCTCTGAAAAGAGATTTTAATTCGTTTCACTTGGGGAAATTTATAGGCGGCGACAGAACTTGCCCAAATCAATGGCCATTTCCCCTTCTGTCTTCAAAGACAGCAGCAAAATGCGTCCATCTAATTTGTAGTGACCCGTTAGTCTCAGTTCAGGCATATGCAACTTCAGCAGAAAACTAAGATCGTTACGATGAACCCTGTTTGAGAAAATTGACGAAATTCAGTGCGAGGTTAAACGAAATTGTTGCAACAAACGAATCAACCTGCTCTCTACGACCTGCACTCTTGACATATCTTTAATTATCAAGGTTGACAAGCCAATTAGGATGTTTACTGCCTCGGCGCCATCCTGTTTGAAGGCAATATCGTTTAGCACGAGAGGATCTAACGAGCCAATTACATCTCTAAACTCAGGCACACCTGTACTGGATGTCCATCAAATATGTGTCAAGTTTGAAAAAAATTTCATTTTCCTTACCTTTCATGATTTCCTTGACAATTTTTTGTATTGCTTCAGTAGAACATTTTGTTAGATCCGGTTGGCTAAGTTTGCAAGATTTCATAAACGAAGCTGCAAAAGGTTGTTTTTATAGGAAAAAAAAAAACCAAAAAACGAAAACTAAAGTAATTTACTTACGTTTTTCTTTAAAATAATCAAAGCTATTCGAACGTTTCACAGCACACATCAGGACGAAAACTAATAGAATTATTTTAGAATAAAGAGCATTTGAAGATACCAAGTTATTAGTTTGTTGTTGCATTTTCAAACTTTTTTTTGCATACAAAAAAAAAATTATTATATTTTTTAAAATATATTATTATTATCTTATGTATGATAAATGCCAAGTTTAATTATTATTCTAGCATCTATGATGTTATCGTTAGCATCTCGTATAGCGAACTGTATATAAATAGGTTTTGCGCACTTTGTTTTATAAGATTTGTAACGGAAGTTAAGTGATATAATTTCCATTAAATTTGCAGTTAAAGTGTTTTTCCTCTTTCCAACAAAGTCGTTGAGTTTTTTGTTAGGTCAAGAGTCAGAGAAAGTATTAGAGCGAATATTGAAAACCCCTTGTCTGAACTAATTTTTGAAAAATCTCACAATTTGAACAATGGATTGGGAAGTGATCTCTGCTAATCGTCCACATGGCTTCAGTGAAGTCGGGAGCATCTCGTCTTTATCTCTATTCTGTTCATATCACTTATATCTATCTGTAAGACTTAACGAAATCAAAATTTAATATTTTAAAGTCATAAAACTTAATTAAATAAAGTAAATAAATAAATGAATTTGAGTTAAATGTATCTTTATTGACTTTGAAATTACAAATCGGTGTAAATAATTCGCGAAGACATCAATTAAAACCAATTTTCGCCTCTAATGGTAATCAAAAGCTTTCCTATGCGTTCCGCCTAGAAAAGACTCTACTGCATATGTCCCTGTCCTATGTCTCACGATCAGAAGCTTAGGATTGCACAGATGCAAGATTGGCTTCAAAATGTGTTCAGTACTTGCTTGAAATTACATTACAGTCAACCATTTGAAAGACATGGGCGAATTTACTCCACGATGGTTGCAGACGTCTTCATATCATACTTTATGAATGTAACTATCGCAGTTGCATACCCTGAACCCTGTGCGATAGCTAGCTTATATCAAGGGCTTTGGGCGCCTTGAATCAAGTCGCCGCGCTCAGCAAACACATAAAACCTCTGAAGAAGAAGAGCAGCGACGACCATATGCACGTGGTGAAAGGAAGGTAAAGCGAAAATGCCTCCTGCTTTATGCTAGTGCAAGGAAAAATCTTCCCCTTTCGCTGGTCGTGTGTGTGTAAACTTTACAAAACATCGAAATTGACAACAAACTTGTACGCCTTAAAAGTAACGTAAATTGCGTATTTATCTGATCACTTTGTAATAAAAGAGTAATCAATAGTGTTTATTGTGAAATTTAACAGTGAAAAAAGCTTACTGAGGTCTGATTGATTTTACTGACGCAATGCCTATCAATGTGTCTGTTTAAATGGATTTTTATTATTATTATTATTTTTATTATTTATTTCATTTAAATCCGCTGACATTGCTCAGTATTATCTTCTTAGAGATGTTTATCGATTATACCGCTTGCTTCAAACTTATTCCCTATGGGATCTGAGGTCAGAAAAAATGGAGCTTTAGCAGGGAGTAGCGAAATCAATTTTTTGGACTTTAAGGCCTACTTTTCTTTATATAGAACTTGGTAGAAGTGACAGCGGCAGATAATACAAAGCAATTTCCTCCACTAAGAGTTTTTAGTCTGCAATGGTAAGCTAGCGTTAGAACATGAGGTTTTAGCACGTTAAGCGACTTTTTTAAGCTTCCTAATCTTTCATAGTTGACATCCGTGCAATGCAATACAAATGGTATTAAATAAATCGCTAAAATGCATAAATAAAGCATAAAAAGAAGAAGAAAAGATTAAGCGAAACTTGCACTTGATATAATGATGTGTAATGATTTCTATATAGGCTTATAGCAAGTAAGCTTTCGATTTTGAATTAGTTAATTTTTATAAACGTTTTTAGTTAATTATATGCTATTAAAACAATTAACAATTAGTTAAACTGTTTCTCTGAAACGACTTTCAGGCCATGCTTACATCGTGTTGCAGGATCTTTCAACACGTGCTGTCACTTTAAATTTAATACACGTACGACTGTTATCATCCCATGAGGGCGTTAGATAAGTGGAAGGCTTGATACATGCTTGAATACATCACTTTTTTTTAGGAAAATTGATGATGATACTCATGACCGTCTGTCTCGATATGTAAACACGTAAATCTGGAACGTGTCTCGGACTCTTAAAATCCGAAAGACATGGTCGAGCTAGTTCCCTTCCGCAGCAATGAGTGACATTTTCATGAGGAGATCATGGACCTTTTGCACCCTAAATTTAATACCGCGTATATGGACGACGTCTTTAAGACTCATAACTCAACCCTGAGAAGTGTGCTTTGCTTATAACTAAATTCCTGAGTAAATCAATCCCGAATATCAGACTTGCAGCGTTTTCTTAATAACCTTGAATTCCATAGGCACAGTGTGATTAATCAAACAAAAGCAATGTCTATCCCTTGAAATTTTTTATTTTTAGAATTTGTTTGTTGCATAATTTGAAAAAATACTTATTTCTCAAACTTTGTTATTATACAGTTGAGCTGGCGTAGGAATGTCTTCTACGAAAAATGTGGCGGGCATAGCTAAGAATACGTTGGACAAAAGATCGAATAATATGCGTTCTACGGTTTCGGTGATTAAAGGGCGTAGGGCTTCAAAGAATTCTCGCCAATTTTTATTAAACGATTCATTTGTACTTTTTTCAATTTCTTTATTATTGCCGCCGAACAAATCATCAAATTGTGTCCGCAAATTGCCAATTTCGATCTCAGCGCGTAGCTCGGTGATATTATAAAAGGTGAAGCCGTCCTTTTCAATTAGTTTCGTTTTCGTTCGCATCACTACCGCTAAATCATCTGCAAGAGTGCGTGGGTGAGTTAACATTATTTACATTGCGGTACGATCGACCCTATGGCGGTAACTTACCCATTTCTATAAACATGTGACCTTCGCCTTGTAATGTTAGCACTAAAACACGACCATTTAATTTGTATTGCCCCTCCAATCTCAGCTTGGGAACAAGAATTGTGGTCAGCCAACTGAAATCTCTTTTGCTAACCCTATTTGAAGAAAAACAAAACCAGTTAGAGTAGTGTGCTATGGTTGTGGAGTGAGGTTGCATAAATTCACTTGAAATATTACCGGCTTTCTTTAATTTGAAGTTTTGAAAGACCCGTCGCTGTTAGGTTTGTAAGATGTGCGTACAGATTTGCTGCTTCCGTATTCGCTTGATTAAAATCAATGTCATCGAGTATAAAGGGATCTAAGCGGCGAACAATCCCCTCAAACTCAGGTATGCCTATTTCAAAAAAAAAAGGTAATTTTAAGTTTATATATCGCAAAAACTTTTCATAAACTTTTCCACGTCAACGCACCTTTAGAAAGTTGAGTAATTAACATCTGAATAGATTCCGTGGAACATTTTGTAAACTCTGGCTCGTAAATTTTACATGATTTAATATAAGACGCTGCAAAATGATAACAATTTAATATATTAGACCGTTTGAGTGTACACACATATCTCTCTACGTTTGGTTATGCACGATATGCGCTTCTATTTTAGTAGCCAAAGATGTCACCTTTTTTGGCGATACTTTATGTGCCCATTAAACGACATATATTTTGCTTGAAAAAAAAAAAACAAACAAGCAAGCAAATTATATTCGGCCTTCACCGAATCTTCTACACCCATCACCTGCCTCCTAAGAAAAAACTAAAAAAAAGAAAGAGAACTCAGTTTTCCTACTCTTCAAGATTGGATGTTGCATGGATGTGAAGGCGCTGTAGCTGTGTCCTTTGACCCGTTTTACGCCATTTTCATTTTCTTTCGCAATTTGCGCCCGCGGGAAAGTTTAACACAAATGTTACATAGTTGGGCAGATGGACAGAGGGACGGACGGGCATGCTTAGGTGCATTCCGAATTTGATGCTGATCAGGAATACATATGTACTTTGTGGGGTCCCTAACTAGACTATATATACATAGTAATTTTCAATACAGAAACTTTGCCAAATGCTATACACAGCTCACATACCTGATTTTGTTAAAGTGGGCAAAATGAGTATCATCTTTCCTCTCTATCTACGGCCTAAGGCTGATACGCAATTTTTGCATTTACTTATGACGCGGAGGTGCATTTGTGTGTGCGTCTTAAGCTATTCCCCTAAATATTGTAATAATCGTGACCCTTTTCGTTATAAAATATTCAAACATATATATTCTGTTTTCTATTAAGCGTGCATTTCCTTTTTCAAGGCTTGCGCTCACTTTTCTCACAAGGTATTTTCACAAAAAACATTTGAATTATCTTGAGGGACTGCGTGGGTTGCGCAAACTAGCATCGCCAAAGGACATGTGGAGAATACTGTGGCGAATGTACATAAACCAGGACGAACCAATCTATGGATTAGTGGATTGAGATCAAAATTCCATTTCTACCGAAAGCTTTTCCACAAGTACGTTAAGTTCGCAATTTATTCGTTTTGTGAGTATTAGTTAATTAAAAAGGACTTTTTATATTCCCTTTCGCATTTTTTCGTCTACCAATTATGAATTATTTTGTTTCTTATTTAACTACCACAGTCACACAACTTAAACGCACTTGTGTTTGCGTTTCATTTTAGATAAAACTTACGTTTCTCTCTGAAGTAATCGAAAGCATTTGAATAATTTTCGCCGCCCAATACGATGACAAACAATGCCAAAATGCAATGACCCATTAAGTTAGTTGACCTTGGCACTTGCTGCATTTTTATGATTCTTCGATGTGTGCTATAGGTAGGTACGAGTGCTTTTAAACGTAAATGAGAGATTGATAATCTGAACACCGACACGTTTACCTTTATTACGTTTCACTTCACTTAAATTAAATTAAATTAAATTAAAGATGAATTCGAAAAGTAGATTTTATCCGGTGTTTACGCTTGCGTTCGTTATAGAAAACTGGGCAAGTTAATGACTGCGATCAGCTATTTTATAAAAGTGCTAACTTAAGCAAGCGTCAATTAGCAAAAGTGACAAGACGAACTTTTCATTCAAGCATATATTATGATCACAGTAGAATAGCAGCAAGCAATCATAAAGTAGTTCCTCTATATATTTATTAATAGTACATTTGTGTAATTAAAGTTTAAAGTTAATGACTCTGGGGAGAAAAGATGTCGAATTATTTCCTCGTTATTTTTATAATACGCAAAATATACCCATAAGTGATTCTACCTAATTAATGCAAATCTACATATGTTTTTATGCGTACATATGTGTAAGTAAATAAATGTAACTGTCCACTTGAAATCGGAAAACTTACCCTTGGTTGGAATGGCCAAGCAGACAAGCAATCAAGGCAAAAAAGGATAATCATGTTGATTGCGTTGATACGCAATCTATATGCGCGTGCATGCATTCACTGGTGCTTCTAAAGGCCGCCTGTTGCCCAGGTTGGACAAGCTCGATCAAGTAAACAGCCCAATATGACGGAAACGAATAAAGCATTTCTCTTAAAGTTTATTTTTATTTGCTTATAGGGATGGGACCTGAAATGATTCACACCTACAAGGTTCAAGCATTTCAAATTACGGGTCATTTGAAAATTTACTGTTTCCCTACAACACAGTTTTTACACTATACCGCAGTTATGTAGCAGTGTATGTACCCATATACAAAAACTATTAAAAGAAACACATTAATTGTAGAGAAACGGACAAGTTTTTTAATTTCTCAAATTTTTACAACGGATGCATCGGAGATTACATCAGAGGTCAGATGTTGTTTCTACAAAACGTGAGGATGATCGGAAAATTGTGTGTAGAAAGAGAATGAACCTGAAGGAGTTTGAAAAGCATTTAAACCGTCGCTCACAGAATTTTGAAAAGCATATATGGGTATTAAGTGTGAACTCTTATGCTATTTCATGTTGCTTACCATTAGGATATGCTTAGGATAATTTTGGTTATATGTTAGTTTTTCTTTTACGTTAGTATCGTTAAGGATATGCGTACTTAAGTGGTTATGAAATAAGGCTCTCATGCCTTCTTATAATGGTTCGTAACCTAATCCAATCCAATGTGTGAAGGAGAAGAAAATAGGCAAGTGACAAGCGAACTAAGCATAATCTCTAGGGTGGGGTGAAATGCTCCTCTGCTTGGGTAAGTTTCCGCATCGTATGTACAAATATTTCAAATATCTAATTTCGATATAGTTTTCGATTACTATGTCAAACCTATTTTGAAATGATATGAAGCTAACTTTTTATCGCCAAAAACTTTCTTTTATACCTTCTCTCGCATGATAGAATATAGTAGATGTGTTCTTCTATCTATCTAACAGAAATACATTACAGAGACGTATACCCATATACGCGTCTAATTAGTACTGAGTATTAGTATTGAGTCGATTTATCCTTACCGGCCTATCCTTTTCGAATATCTATTGAAACAGTTATGATCGCAAGGCGAAGAGAAAGATAGTTAATCATCAGGCAACCATGACATAGCGTTTATTCTTCTGTAAATCTGTAAGAAAACTTCAGTGAAAACTGGTGCCCAAATATACCGACAATAGGTAAGACATATTGAATTTGATTGAAATATTTCCAAGGTCGATTTGAAAGGGCGAGAAGAAGTACTCTCCAGTTGTCATGCACGAGCTCGCGACGAATATTGACTTTAAGTGAACACAGTCTCTTACTTATTTAGAACACCTGCTGTTAAGACCTTAACAAACTAGTTTGTCTTAATCTTTTCTCTCTGCCTGTTAAGTAATCGCGAAAGGGAAATAGGCCAATCATTTTTACACACTACATCGTATGTGTCTACAAATTAAAAGTATCAGATTAATTTATTGTCGCTTTTAAAAATAAATTTAAAATGGTCAGGAGACAACGGAGATATACTAATTACGTTACTGCGTTTGCCACATCGTCAGAGATCCTATGAGCCTTGTAGATTCTTGATCAGACTTGATGTCTTTGTGTTCATTTTTCTATCCTCTTGCCTGTCTTTAGCTGCTGTCGTTATTCTTCGGAAAACTTCTGAAAGCCCCCAGAATTTCGAGGTAATGTTCTTAAATCAGAATGAACCGTGCTTCCTTGATCTGTCCACAAGCGTCCTTGCAATAACTAAAAAAGTTGGCAATTTCACTACACCTCATTCGAGAGCCATCTAAGACTACAGGATGAAGATTATGTTGACTCAGTCCCTGGCGCTGGGCACTGTCAAACCTTTCTCTCGTCGGCTTTCTTCTTTAGTTATCGAACAAGTTCACTGAAAAGATTTCTGCTTAGTGAATTCCGCTTGTCTTACTATGCGCACATACATGCACAGGCACATAAGATTGAGCAGGTTTTTGTTGGAAATTTGTAGACGATATAATTACTATAATGAAAACAGTATAGGTAGCGGAAATAATCGCAAAACTTTTTATTGTACATTGTATGTGTCAGGTGATTATCACTCGTTTTATGTTATATTAATACACGTATCACTGTAATCAATAGACGATTGTATAAATCGATTCCATATTGAAGCAAGTTGTCGCTTTTAGGGCAGATCGAAATTTCGTTAAACCAAAAACATTTAAGTCTTACTTATCACTAAACCATGAAACTAATCGCATTAATATCATTTTATTGCTTGCGCGACTACTTCTAATAATATCGCACCATTTATGATCGACTGAATTCGTCAACAATCCTATTAATTGCTACATAATATTATTTCACATATATTTTGTTTATATTTCTAGGTTGAAAAAAAAAAAACAACTAAGACAAAAATGTTGGGTTAAATATCTTCCACTACAAATAAATTTCATCGAAATATCTCAAGGATTGCGACCTGTAGGTTAAACACAAGAAACAGAAGGCCAGACTAACGGACAGACGGACAGACAAGCTTAGGTCGATTCGCAGTCAATCGGTATAGTGCAAGGTGGCTTTATCCCAAGTTCTACTGGGTGAACCATACAAGCGCACAAACCTAATATGGCCTTGTACCTTGTACTTGAGTGTAGGGTATATCGCGAGAAGAAATTTTTTTTTTATTACTGTAAGAGATATTTTGTGATATGGTCCGCTGGGTTTTTTCACTTCTAAAGAACGCAGAGCTGTATAGCACAAGCAAATCGAATTGATTTATTTACTGGAAACAATTGCGAAACAAAAGCTTGCATTAATTAATTGTTCAGCCATTTCATATTTATGATAATTCTTTCTAGAAAGTTGCACAATTGTACATAGCTTGGAGCTAGCTTTGGCACGTGGATGCAAATGTTTTTCAAAATATTGAGCGAACACTTCATAATTGTTCAGAAAATGCATTTTCATCGGAACACGAATACAATTTCCAAAGTTTCATGATCTGTGGTTCGTGATTCGAAGTCTAAGCAGAGGATCGAATTATTTTTTCACATTTTTGTACGATTTGTGGAGAACTCATTTATTTTTATGTAATTTAAGGCACGGGGGAGAGGAATTAGTTATGCAATTAGTAGCTTAGTTGGGGCGTACTTTCTCCCTAAAATGTCCACTCAATAAAGTTCTTTCATATTTGATAAACCGAGAAAATAAATAAATAAAGTGGATTGCCTTAGATGCTGGCGCCTTAAGACTTTAATCTTAGAATACATTTCTTTGGCTAAATAGTAGCAATAGTAATAGACTTTTTGTTTTTTTTAAATTATGTAAGCATCATGACGTGCAATTATATCATTTTGAAAATGTTTGGTTTTGAAATGTTTGGTAAGCTTGAATGAATTGATGTCAATATCAATGGCTTGAACCGGTTCTCAAAGCATAATGAATTATAAGAATTTTTATGTTTTTCTTTGAAAACATGTAACGCTTGCATAAACCGGTCACAAAATTTTATGGCGAGCCCGCAGCTCGGTGCCTGGAATAGTGAAACATCAAAACCAACCAAAACTGCAAAGAACACACAACGCAACGCAATGATTATGATTATGTGGCAATAATTATGAAAATATTGGCCAGAGTCCTTGAAGACTTTGGTGCAACAGTAATCTTGATTAGCCAAACTTCATGTCAGCTGAAGAAATCTGCACTTCTGTACGTTAATGGATTAACGTAACGGGAAGATTTTGACTTTTTTTTCACTACTTGCACGAATTCTTTGTTGTGCGATAGCTTGCTGTGCTTGCATTCATGGTCAAATGTGTGGTAACTTACATTGACATTGGTTTGATGGCATTCTCAGAGTAAATTCTGAATCTGGTTTTATTTGTGATTCCTCAGTAAACAAATCGAAGTGCAAAATGACTTAATTAAAATTCTTATAATAAGTTTACAAGTGGTTCAAGGAGCTCGGTTTATTGAATATTGAACTAAAGTTGCGACAACTTTTTTTTTTTTTTAAAGTTCAAGTAGTAGTCAGACACGATGAAGATGGTGGGAGAAAGGCAACGAATGAGATACAAAAATCTGTAACAGGACGAATACGACATATTTCGTCTAGCGCTTATGAAACTTTTTCACATCTGCCTTCAACCAGTTGAGTGTACCCAACGAACACATACGTCATGATTCGTCTATCCGTCCTTGTCGGATTTCCTTATAAAATGTTTTTGCTATAGTAATGTGCTTTAGAACGTGCGCACGTCATTTTGGCATGTTATTTCATTACCACCCATTTGCACATATTGCACATGCTCAGTGTTTGACGAGTGTACGAGTGTATCGCTAAAGAGGTCGATACTGGTCAATACAATGTGATGACCTTAGAGCGGCGGCATGGACGGCTGTTAAAAAGCCTTTGAGTGAAGTCAGTTAGTTATCACGAATCGTTTTGTGTTCTTAGTAACGCTTGTTAACAATAAAACTAAGCTTTAAGCTTAATAAAGCTAAAGCATATGCGATTAAAGTGTGGCTTAAAAGTTTTAAATGTTCGAAAGAATGTTGAGGTGAAACAGTGCATGCCGAAAGTATATAAACGAAATCCAAATAAATGCGAATTAAAAGCAAAAAGATGTATGATAAGCTAACTTATTTATTTAAGCAAGTTGAATAGCAAAATAGAATAGCAAAACAAACAGCAGAAATGTTGTTCATAACAACGATGTTTTTATAGGGAAAGCTTTCAAGAAATCAAATATAAATGAAAAATAAAAATTATTAGATAATTATTTATTACTTTTTTTCACCTTTTTGTACAATCAATCCACCAGTGGATGTCCTATACATAGAACACGGCGATGGTCAGAAAGAAGTGAGGAAAGAGAAAGTGATAGGTTATAATGCATATTGAGATATATGTTACTATTCTTTGCAAAAGGATTTATTATGAAATGCCGGACCCTTTGCCAGAAAACTTAAGAGCTCTAGAAAGATTACTGCGGCACAAATATGTCGCATGTCGAGTAAATAAGATGGAATTTGCAAAAAAACCCTATTCTACTCCTAAAAGCTATTTGATGAAGGTGCAAGCATGTGGATGGTACTCGATTTCCTCATAAAATTTCTGTTTTGCAAATATTGCGCAGGAATAGCAGAAGCTCCTGATTCTAATCGATTTCACGAAGAGAGAAAGCGCCAATTAGACCAAGTTAAGTCGATATAAAGTCTATAGGAACTTCAAAAGCTTTATTCCTTTGCAAACATTTTTTTTTGTTTACGCACTCATCCCAGATGGATAAAGCCGGGCGTACCTGTTTTATCAGTAGTGTAATAGACAGAAAAACCTGTCAAAGATGTTTTAAGCGTATATTTTGTACCAAAGTAAGATCTTGAGTTAGTTGAGCCTTAAGTCTTCAAAGTGAATACATTCTCCAGCAAAGCAGTCCTGCATTTAGCTCTCTGAAGAAAGCCATGACTATGGTAGTTTACGCAAGTAATCTTCGATCAGATACGTATCGGGTTTGCTAACCAGTGCAATGGCACTAATTAGTAAGGAAATGAAATGTAGCACAAAAGAATTTTTTTAATAAAAATTGGCGAGATTTTTATAAAGATTTAATTTTAAATTAAAATCAAGAAATTCCTTAATTAAAGACATACTAGCGCAGCCGCAAATAAATGTACGATAAAAAATGTATTCACTTGAAAAGAAAACATTTGTGCCAAACGAAATTAAAGCCGGAATTTTTAAATGTTGAAAAAACGTATCGTTTCACCTAAAGCATCCACTTCCTGACTTTTTATTTTTCCATAAAGCGACATATAAGCGACATGTAAAAGTATTAAGCGGTGCTTTGTTGAATAAAACAATTATTTGAATAGGCGTAGGCTAGAATGTAGCTGAAGCATTTTTTCCATGTGTTTTTGCGTTTATTGCGGCGAACAAATAGAGCTTAACCAAAGATGAGACAGTTTTACATCAATCATCATTTCAAAAAGAGAACAACAGATGTAAAGAGACGCTTAAGGGTTTGGCTTAGCCAAAGTTGATAAGACAAGTGACCACCAAGTCGGCATTTACGGGTTCAAATCTCAGTGTGATTTGGCCATAGCTGGTCGTAGCTGCGTACGCACGTTCACAAGGCTGCGTCCACTGACTGTCTCTTTCTCTTTTTCCACTTCTTTTTAACTACCACCGTCTTATACTTACAGTTTATGTGGGTGTATGCATGGTGGAGTCTTACGTCTACGCGTTTGGAAACATTGTGAGCTGTTGGTGGGTCTGGTATAAATATTTTTGGACAGAGCTGTTTTTCTTTCTAAGGACGTAATTGAGTTTTCTAGCAACAGCTCCCGTATTTTTTCGACTTTAAGGCGCACTTCATGGAAAATAGGTTTTAATGTTACTTTCCGATCAAAATTTTTATTTATTGTTGACATAACTCGTACTAGCAATATTCAGTTCACCTTCACTCTCAGTATTACCAGCCGTCTCGGTCGTATTAACTAGTGTTGTCACTCCTTTCAAAACCCAAATTTAGAGAGGATCTAGCGAAAAAATATTTTAATTTTACCTTCGAGACCATTTTCCTATGTGAAAAGAAAGATGCGTCTTGTCCGTTCGAAGAATGCGATAATTCGTTGCGTAGCTTGTCAGAGTCGTTAAAACCCGCCGTCCAATCTTCAGTCTTGTTCCAGGGAACACTCATGAATAGATGACAGTTGTCGAGCTCTTTGCGGATATACTCCTATACTTGGCGGACACGGGATGTGCGTAGTATGAAGTGACGTAATAAAGTGACAAAAATATTTTCTTAAACAATACCTAATCATAACGATAAAATTTTATGAAGAAATCCGACAAGTACGGAAAGACTGATCATGACCTACAAACTGTGAAAAGTTTGTCCGTCAAAAGAAATATTTTTTTTTCCTTCAGCGCTTGCTATGCCATCGTACACTAAACAAGTAAAGTAAATCTCACACATACATATAGTTTGTGGGAACTGCTGTGAAAATTGTGAAATTTGAACAACGGTATCTATGTGAATTTTTAATTTTACTTAAATCTCTATTGTCACAGTGAATAACATAAAATTATGACTAAAAGTAATTATTACATACAACTACAAGTTTTCAATGAAATAACTGGCCGGAATAAATTTGAATACCGCTTTCACGCGATTGGCCAAGACGGCTTCACATGTCTGTCTAATCGCTGGCTTCAACGCCTCGTAGAGATCGCGCCAATTTTCATTGAACGTCATATTTGCAGCATCTTCTAGATCCTTTTGACCGTTAAATAGATTCTCGAGCTTAATATTAAAGCCACCAATTTCTGCGATATCCAAATGAAAATCTACGATATCAGAAAATGTGAAACCATGTTCCTTTCGCAATTTATATTTGATCTTAATGGCCATAGTAATCTTGTCTGAAAATTCAATGCCAAATGAAAGTTTCACTTAGTGCATAAGCATTTGAGGAAAAGTAAAATAAAACGGAACGTAAGATTACCTACTACGAAGTTAAGTTTGCCATGACCGTTTAGGGGTAAACTTAGTATCCTTCCGTCGACTTTGTAATCGCTTTGGACTTTCAGTTGAGGAGCAAAGAAAACTAAACTTAACGTTGCTTCCTTTTCTTTCCAGCTAAACGCGTTAATACGGAATAATTTTACTTCAAAATGCACTCAATAGACGTAATTGAAAATTTCTTACTTAGCTTTCTGGGTCTGCGCTTTGCTTCCTCCACTAATTAACATGTTAGTAAGCTCGGCGTTTAACGATACGGGACCCTTGGCATCTTGAGCTATAGTCACACGTTTCACTGGTAAGGGATCTAGCGATTTAACCTCTTTTGACCCAGGAATTCCTTGAAAAAAAAAAAAAAAATCAAAAAATTGTATTCTTCTTCGCCACAAATATGTCTCTTGCATATTTCAGGCATTTTGTTTCGAAAAACGCATGTACATCTCTTCCAATGAATTAGGTCGTTAGGACACCTGAAAAATACCTGAACTAAGCGACCTGTCTGCTTACGCACAAGCTATCAAAGCGTTGCCAAACGGAAACCTTAGAATTCAATGACTTTGAGTGAAATATTTGTGAATAACCGTAAGCGGTGTTAATCGCTTTCGCTATTACTGCTGACGCATCTTTAAAAGTACTTATCTAATTCTCACTCGCGACTTATGAATGCTCATCGAACACGCATCCACGGTTAATACGGAGGGGTAAGGGCCGCAGTGGGAATATGATTGGATTGACCCCCTCTCCAAAGAACTCGACATATATTTGATATTAAATATACATCAACTTACCGTCTTTATATTCGCGAAAGATCGCATCAAAGTTGGAGGTGAAACACTTTTCAAAACCAGGATCATCTCGGCGACATGGTGTCAAAAAAGCGGCTGTAACATAACATAACAATATGACTAAGTTGTTTCTTTCACTATCTCATTGAAAGGACTTACGTTTTTCTGTCAAGTATGTGGCTGCCTGAGACGCGCCTCCAAACGTTACCACGATAACGAACAATATCAAAAACTTCAACGTCATTATGCAAAGTTTGTGTTTTTTTCTTTTTGCTTTCTTTTTAAAATTTACTACAAATTATATTATATAAGCCACTTATAAAACGGTCTCTTCCTAACTGTTTTGTTGTTTCTATTCAAATGTTCATTAGAATCGGAGAGTGCAAGCATTTATAACTACAATTATTTGCTAAATATTAATCTTTATTAATTCTTGTTAATGAAATTGTTTTTTTTTTTTTTTATTTTCGTTTCTTTTTATAAAATTTTATTCTTGTTTGATTCCTTGAACTGGTTCTACCAAAAAAAAAAAAAAAAAAAACAAACTAGATTTTTCACTTTTATATAAAGTTTGTGTGTTTTTTCGGCTATTCTTCTGGAATGGGAGCGATTTAAGAAATTTTTATATAATTGAAATATCTGAATATTTACTTCTACTTAAGAATTTTTCGTTTTCGTCTCCGTGTATGCAAAAAAAACAAAGATGTCAACTAGAATCATAGAGTATTTCGTTAAGGAAAGATTAGAGACAGCGAGAGATAGAGAGAGAGAGAGAGTTTGATTGGAAAGGTGAGCTTCAAAAGTAAGCAAGCTTTAGCTTAGACATGTTGCAGGGCCTATAATAAACGCTACGCCTATCTTTGGAGTGAAACGACTCAAACACCTTTCCCTTTCTGAATAAATGATGTAAAGATATAAATTCGTAGGAAGACTGTCTTAAATTTTTCTAAACTTTTCCTCCGAAAGACATTAAATTTGTTATTGTGTGATTGTGTCTTTTAAAAATACAACCAGCCATCAAAAGTCTGACTAAATATATGTTACTCTTGCCTTGTCAAAAGCCGAGAGCACGGAGCCGTGAAACTGGACGGAACCACGTAATAGATTGCATGTTAGCTTTAACAGATTATTATGGATTACTTCTAATTCTTTCTGGGGTGAGAATTTGCGTTGAATAAGCTTTTTATCGTTAGTGTTTAAAGTGGATGTCCGATCAATACATTCACGTAATTAATTACACACGGTGTATGGTCCATAAATTTCATCTTGGGCTGAAGTATTTAACTTCTGGTTATTATTATTATTATTATTATTGCAATTTTCTTGGACAAAAAAAAAGGTAAATTCTAGGAGTAAAGGTAGTATGAACCTCCCTAGAAACTAAGACTTCTAGCTCATGTTAAGTGCAGCCATTTTAATAAAGTTGAATGTTTTATTCGCCATCAAGTTCTACACAGACTTCCCAGACACCCATAGGGTTAGACGCACCGAATACGAATCTTGGTTCGTGAAATATTTGTTCGTTCGCGCCTTAATTTTTTTCATTCGTTAAGGCGGAATAATATCTGTTTGTAGATTAGCTAGTACATCGTTGGCAATATTTTCAGAGTTGAAAGCTGCTGCATCATCTCAAATCTTCTATGGCTACTATGGTATTACATTATTAATAATAATAATAATAATAATAATAATAATAATAATAATAATATATTTTTTGTATTTACATTATGTACTAATGTAAACAAAATTTAATTATTTTTAATTACAATTGAGTTTTTATTAGTTTACTTTGTAAGCTTTGTTATTGGGCTCACTATTCAAATATTTTTATTAGCGTACCTGATAAACAATATTGAGTTTAAACAATGCGAAATAAATCAAAATATTTATGATCAATACAGCATC